TACTATTTCACGCTGGTATTCTGTGTGAGCGTGGTTCTTCCCCGGTCGAGCCGACCCATTCGTGCTACAACTATACTACTAATATAACTGCAGCATGGCTCTACCACGTATAAAACCTGACTGAAGTTTACTCACCTGATGGTATGTGGGTACTGTGGCTCATGGAACTCTAACCAACATGCATTACCAATGCTGCCTTTAAAAGCCCGCTGCTGAATACAGACCTCGCCCATAGATTGCCTCATGGAGGTTTTGACGTAGTTAACTAGCCTGGCGAGTGGGTTGTCAACTGCAGCTTTTTATTATTGTTGCGCGCCTAAGTTGATGTCTGGTACCTGGCACTAGCGCCATCTATTGTCGGGGAACAGAGGGAGAAGAGCGTTCTGGAAAATGCCATTACTTAACTTTCAACAACAGCGCCATCTAGTATCGAATAGAAGAACTAAGCTTTCTGGAAAGCTCCACACTCGAACTTTCTGCACCTGGTCGATCGGGGGCCGGTATTTGCTGGAATATTATGGATGTATCGGTGAAAAAGGCGTATATGAAGGCGTTGAAGCCCGCCACCGGGGCAGTATTGAATTTGCGATACGAGCGAAGCTTTCAGAGTGAAATAAAGTAAACTAAAGTGTTAAGTGTGAATAATTATTAGTGTGATTTAAGTTTTAATTGGTGTTCAGTAATTAAAGTATCAATTTTGGTAGTTCAATCCGCAGTTCTTATTGTTACGAACCCTAAGCTCGTAACATTATTTTGAGTTATTGTCAGAAAGATGCTGATGCCCATCACCTGTTTCAATTTCCCTCTGTCACCTTTTACGACGCTCACGGTACGATATGGGGTAGTGGTTGTTCTTACACCGCCACTTCACGGCTTCGTAAAACTGGACATATTTTCTCATTGCTGAAGACTACAATGAACTGGGGTATACAGGTAATACAATCCCTTTATAGGTTTAAAAACTTCTCAATCTTCAAAACCAATCGTGCTATGTGGATGTGTGATATCCAGATCTACCGCAAAGTCTTATTAACAAGTTGGAGCGCCTTTTCAACAACTGTATAAAATTTATTTGCGATTTACGAAAATAAGAGTTCATCACTTTAATGGCTTTCTCTTTGTCAAGAGCGTTGCTCCAGATATTACCTAAATTTTTTTCTTTCTGTATACAACTATTGACATTGAACTACATTCGTCTAATATTCTTAAGTTTCATATACAGTGGACCCCCGGTAATCCGGTCCCTGGCTAATCTGTCCCTGCTTGTAATCCGACATGTCTTTAACTCGTAGGTAGTTTCGAGTCACGCTATGAATCCCCTACTGGGTGTGTTTTATCTGGACCAATACGACTTAGGGACCTCCAAGAAAAGAGCTTACTGCTTTTTAAAAGACCGGCAATGCAACTGAAATTCTGCTGGTGTTGTAGTTGTTCATGAGTGGCGATATCCACCTTACACTTAGGTGAGCCGCATGCTCGTTTGCCCCCCTCTTCTATATTATATTTACTGTTAATCATTGACTTACCTTTACGGCAGCTTAGGAAAGGTTGAAGTGGAAGGAGACGAAGACTTTTCCTATATTATTTTTATTTTTTAACCTCTCAAACCACTAATGGTCGAATCCGACCACGGTGATATTCCGTCGAATCCCAAGTGGTCGGATTCAACCACACCCACCCACATCACGTTAACCCATAAAAACTTATGTTTAGAGACTACTTTTCTATGAAGGAGTTCGGCATTATTCAATCAATATAAAATTTTCTATCCTCTAGTAAAATAAAAAGTCAGTTTATGGATATTTATACAAATAAAAATGAAAGTCTTTATTTTATAAATTTTCGTGTTTGTTTTTCAAAAAAATGCTTAGTTTTTTTTTGGATAAACTATAGCCTAAATCTCTAATGGCGTTGCTCTTGTCATGTTTCATCACAATCAGTTCGGCCATTCCGAAGATTAGCCCGGATAGACAAAAAATTTAAAAATGGTTATTTATGTCCTAATAAATAGAAACCAGTAATATTAATATTGTTACGAGCTTAGGGTTCGTGACAATAAAAACTGCCGATTGAATTACCAAAATTGACATTTTAATTGCCGAACACCAATTAAAACTTAAAACACACTAATAATTAATCACACTTAACACTTAGTTTTAACACTTAGTCCGAAAGCTTCGATCGTATCGCTAATTCAATACTGCCCCGGTCGCGGCTGAAACATCTAGAATGCTCCAGCAAATACCGGTACCGACCGACCAGGTGCAGAAAGATCGAGTGTGGAGCTTTCTAGAAAGCTTAGTTCTTCCATTCGATACTAGATGTCGCTAATGGGAGAGTTCTAGAAAGATCTTGACGCTCCTATTTCCGCTGTTTGATACCAGATGGTGCTAATAAACCACATACCAGGCGCTAATTATAGCGCGCAACAATGTTACAAATGGACACTTTAATTCTATTTTATGTATAGATATAGATATAAACTGCTATTTGGCTGTCAGGCATTATATCTTAGTTCTCAGCTGTGACAACGCATCTGTAGTCTTCCTCTTTGTTTAAAGTAGTAGGTGTATGTGATCTGCAGTAGCCAGTTATTATCTTGTAGACTGTAAGCTTGTTTATCACTTCAGTTTTATTAAAAAAAAAAAAACTTGCGTCAATGATAATTTCTTTAATTTTTGCAGAAGTTGGAATTTTACCAAGGGAATGTCAAGAAACAGCAAAAATACTTTTGCTTTTTGATAAACTTTTTGACTCTCTTAATGGGAACTTCGCACAAAGAGAAAGGTCATATTACGAAAAACCGTTGCTGAGAGAGGTCACACCAAAATCAAGGCACTATTTGCTGTGGAAAGAAGCGAAAAACGTTTTAAGTGGTATGAAATTTGTAAACAAAACAAAACAGGTAGAGGATGTGTCCCTCAAGAGAAATTGGATATTCACAATAGAGGGGATTGAACTACTAACTAATATATTACTAAATAAATACGGTATCACGTCTGTTTATATGCGGAATCTAAACCAGGATCCTTTGGAGAATTTCTTCTCTCAGATTCGTTTAGAGTGTGGAAATATTTATCCAACAGCAAATAGCTTCGCTATTGCATTTACTAGTCTTTTCATTCAAAATGTTAATACGACCAAGTCACCGGAAAAAAATTTCGAAAAGGACATTTGTAAAAATTTGATCCTCTTGAAAATGAATAAGAAAATACCGACCCCATACGCCATTGAAATTAATAGAAAGCATTTGAATATAGATTACACATTGGTGGATTTAGAAAAACGAAATCCTCAAGTTAATAATAATTTCAATTATGTAGCGGGGTATCTATTAAATCGCAAAAAAATGTATAAAGGCTGCAGAAAATGCAATGAAGTTATGACGTCAAAAGCACAGTGTAAATATATTTCTTTTCGGAGATACGGTAAGCGGTGGCTTTGTTATCCGAGTGTAGAATTAGTAGAGACAGTTGCTAAATTACAATCTATTTGTCGGACGGTACTTTTTGATGAAATACGTAACGGAAATTTAAAAAAATACTTAAACTGTAACTTGTAACTTTCGAAAACATAATTTGATAAAAGTAATTTTATCAAATTATGTTTTCGAAAATTTTTCCTGCAATAAACATAAATGTAAGTTAAAAAAGTACCTCGTAAATGCTGTAATGAAATTATGCATTCAAAGTTATTGTAAAATTATTAATAAAATATTAAGTGTCCATAGAGATGTTGCCGACTGCAATGATAATCTGCAAAATGCGGCTAAATACATGCGGGAAATTAATAAAGAAAAAAAGAGGAAGTAAACATGGAATTTAGTAGGCATGGGTAGACTGTATTTTAGTTAATTTAATTTAAATGTTAATAGTCAACAGTCAATAGTCAATAGTCAACAGGTTAAAAAAGCTGTTAAAGAAATAACAGGTCTTGAAACTTAAACCGTTAGCATTATTGGTCAATTTAATATTTCAACGTTTTCGATCAATAACAGTTTTGTAGCAGATGAAGTTGAAGATTATTGATTTTATAAGAAGTAAGATTACTTTTATTTTTATTGAACTGGGATAACCTTTCCTTCGTACTTTTTCCAGACTTAGGACTGGCTGGGTAAAATAGTATCCAGGTGTACTTAAAAGATCAACTGATATATGTGTAACTGTGTATACATTATTCATCTCTTTTGTTTTTTTCCCTTTGTTCTATTTACAATTACATATCAAATCTCATAACCTGTAAAACGGCCTTCGTCTAAGTTTACATTTAAAAGTAGCAGTTTTTCTATTTTGTTGGTAGTTAGTCTTGTTCTTCTTTGATTTACAATCAGCCGTGATTTAAAAATATCCTTTCACTGATGTTGCTCGTCCCAGTACATCTTTCTATGTAAATTTTGGCTAAGTTTGGATAAACGAATTTGTGAGTTCTCCACCATTCCAAAGGATTGTTGCAGCTACCAGTAGCATTTATCCTACGTAATAAGTCGTCAGCCAAATAGGTGTCCACTTCTTTTATGGCTTTTAATAACGGAGTGCCTGTGGTGAAAGGTGCCCCTATTATTTGACCAAAAATATCTCATGGACTGAATTCTAGTTCTAGTTCTTGTCGATTCATATTGATTTGAAATTTGGGCCAGTGTTGCAGCATCAATTCTGGATATTTCGAAGGCGACGAGCGTTCGTACTCTATCTTTTCTTTAGACAGCTTCAGCGTGGTCTGCAAATCCCTGCATACTTAAATCAAGGGTCCGAGAAAGTATACACACTAAATGTGCCACTTTGCTCTATCCCTTTGAATCTGTCTGATAAACCTGGTTTTAACAATGAAACTATATCAAGGACATTTGACGGTAAATTTCCTTTATCTCATATTTTCTTACAAGATTCTGCAACGTGTCATTATTATTACACAGCCGCCCGTCAAATAATTTTGGCCACGCATGGTTCTGGAAATGAGATAGCCAATCCTGTAACAGACACAATGTTCAATGATAGCCAGTCCTATCTAGCATGGTGATTGATTATATGACCCAAATAATTTAGGTTTACCTTTACTCTGCTGGGCACATTTTGACTCCCTTTGAGAGATGGATAATCGGAGTTAACTAATGATATCTGCCTTAAATCTAATTTTATAACCATGGCATTGCTCCATCGTTTTACGGATTGGTTCTGTTCTAGCAGTTGTGTATAATAACCCTTGGATGGTGTACATGACCATGCCATAGCTCTTCCTGGGACGGTGCACAGCTCGATTGGGATTTCAAATACACGGTGTGATCGTCCTAGAAATGATGTTGACTTCACTAATATGAAAATTACCAAGCTACTCTCTCCCATATGGTGTGGTATCAGCTGATTTCGAGTGAACAAGCCTATCCGTGCTAACATGTGGCGGTGTTCAGAAGTTATGAATCGTCTAGTCCAATAAATGATCACTACGAGTATAATCAAAGCTATAAGTATATCAGCATGGAACTCTATTGAGGCAACATGGGTCGCCACCTCTTTAAGCTTGTAACTGAGAATTGTTGGTGGTGTCGAACTAATATTCTCCACTCCTGTTGTTTGGTTTATCCAGAAGTTCACTGTTGTTTTGTGTAGTTGGGTGTTGTTGATAGGGGCGGCAAATCCCTTGAGAGGCATGCTTGCAGCAGTAACAATTGCAGGACTTACACAACACCTCCTTAGTACAAGGAAGATTATATAAACAATTAGAATCATGACCACTGCACCTATTAACCACACTATAGCACTCCTCCACCCAGTGAAACAGTCACCTATTGAGAATCTTGCTGCCGCATCTTCGGCAAATTTCTTCTTTAACTTGATTATTTCATTAGTTAATATCTCTATATCCGAGTGGTAAGTCTTCGTAGCATTCCGAGAATTGGTGATCAAGTCTGATAGTTTTGCTACGCTACCTTCTACCTGTGGAGCAGACACGTTGCAGACCTCATTAGCCCTTTTAAGCCTGGCTGAGGCAATATTTGTAGAATCAAAATCAATTGTGTCTAGCTTCAACTCTGGAAGGTCTCCAAAGACGTATTTGTCTCCCACCAATGATTCACTCTTTACAGAATCTAATATCTCCTGGGTTGGTTCGATCTTGTAACCATCTATCTTTGCTATACAGTTAGCTGGTAGGAGTAATCTTGTTTGGCTTTAGAGAGTTTTCGTGCTCTGGCTTGTTTTTGTCCCGTTTCGACAGATTACTGCAAGGTCACGTGTCTCAGCATTGTGTGTTATCAGCCATGTATTCGTGTCTATACGAGTAATAAAGACTTGCCCTGATCTTATCACCACGTAGAACAGCATGTGCACCACAGTCTTGGTCAGTGTTGGTGCCCCACACATGGGGTAAATTGCAGGTACTATAAGGTAACGAACTGCATGTATGGTAATCATCTTTATCCATACCCATCCATTCCCCCAATTCACTATTGATGATGTACACAGGGTGTTTTATTTGAGCCTTGTACCAAAAACCACCTATATAGAGTGGGTGAGTTATCATCTTAACTGTAAAATAATGTCTTGGTTTCTTTATTATTGGTACTGTCATCACGAGTATTACATGTCCAGCATTCACACCTACCTTAACTGGTATGTGGCTGAGCATCTCGTCAAAGAGGATAGCAGGTGGTAATGCCAGGCTCTCAGGTAAACTTTGGGTTATTGATTGACCAACTGTGTCTTAATTTCTTCATATTTGTTGTTTATAAACGAGACTGATTTCTTGACTTCATCTTTTATTTTCTTAAATTTTGTATTTAATAGGTTCTTAAATCTGGCTTCTAATTTTTTCTGTAATACTGTAATTTCAAAGGAACTTGCAACTTTCAAAGGAATGCAAAGATAAAAAATAGCACAGTTAATAAAGACAGACTTTTATGTTGATGACTTTCTTTCTGGTACTGAAACTGAAAGTGAATTACAAAATATAATCCAATCAGTCACTACAGTTCTCAGTACAGCCTGCTTTCCTTTAAGAAAATGGCGAACTAATGCAAATATTCACTTTCAAGATGAGTCAAATACATCGTTGCCATAAAAATTTAGATTTGACTTCGCAACCCAACGTTTTAGGTTAAATGGGATCCAAGTAAGAACATTCTTCGATTCCCAGTTAACATTCAGTTAGATCAAAATATAACCAAAAGGACTATTTTGTCCAATTCGGCTAAATTATTCGACCCATTAGGTTTGCTTAGTCTTTGTACTATCATATCTAAAATAATTCTACAAAAATAATGGTTGACAAAACTTGATTGGGATAATTCGGTGGATAATGTATTAAAGGCAAAATTTTATAAATAATTTAAACAGCGTATCGTTCATTGAAATACTAAGATGCGTTCTCATTAATAAACCTGTGGTGATAGACTTACATACATTCTCGGATGCTTCACAAGCGGCATATGCATCTGCAATCTATCTTAGATCGGTCGATAGTTCAGGTTTGTTTCAAACCTGAACTATCGACCGTCTATCGTTTGTGCAAAAACTAAGGTTGCTCTAGTTAAACCGACGACAATACCTCGATTGGAACTGTGTGGTGCCCTGCTTTCTGCGCGATCAAGTGTTAAAGTGTTAAAGGCCCTTAGTTACAAAATTCGTTCAGTCTATCATTGAACTGATTCAACAGTCGTTTTAGGTTGGTTATCTGCTCAACCATGCGATTTGAAACCGTTTGTTTCAAACCGCGTTGGTGAAATAAGAGAACTTACTATTTCAGACGTTTGGAGGCACGTCCCTGGAGATAAAAACCCAACAGATCTAGCCTCACGTGGTTTAAACCCTAAATTAAACCGGCAGAACTCGCGCCCTTAAATGTTACGCAAGCACTCGAGTATTGCGATCGACTCGTTTTGCGATTTTTACGCCTTGGGCACACCGCACATATACCAGGTGTTTAAGTTTCGGGAACGTTTCTTTTGTTTGAAAATCGGGTTATAATCTGTTTAAGGGGATATGATATATTTTGCAAAGAGCTTCTTCGGTTGATGTGCTCTTGGGTTAGTGTGAGAGACAGCTTTTTCAAATATTTCCTCCTTGTGATCAAATTATCGCAATATCCGTGATAAATAATTTGACTATTGATACCTGCTATATTCAAAATGGAAAAAAAATTCTCAGTGGCCACCTACAGGCAACTCGAGCTACAGAATATTCTTCTTTCAATCTATCGACAACATCTACCCCTCCTTTGGTTTTATTGTAAAATGGAATTATTTCTGGTTTTGCGTCATCTCCAGTTTCAGGATCGATTCGGTCGTCATTATGAAGAGTACTAATCATAAGAACATTTTTTTTATTCTTTTTGTTTGGTATATAGGATACCAGAACCTTGCCCGTATGAAAACTACTGTATGATGAATTATGATGTATGTATGATGAATACTACTGGGCTTTGGTCTTATTTTAATATTCAAAAACATAGGTGGAATTTCCCTTTTATTTTTGCGTATAGTGCCAACCAACGTAGTACGTTTAGTCAGCAATTCATCGGTCAATGGAATAGATGAAAAATAATTATCTGCTGTAACAACCAACGTAGTACGTTTAGTCGGCAATTCGTCGGCCAATGGAATAGATGAAAAATAATTATCTGCTGTAATATTTCTTCCAGAATTTAGAATATCTTTTGATAAACGAGTAACAACAGCAGATGGGGAATTATCATATTTGTACGGACAATTTGGTTGTTTCCCTGGATAAATCTCTAAATTACTCGTATAATATGAAAGCGCACCACACAGTGCACACACTTTTATGCCATATTTGGCTGGTTTCTTAGCAATATACATTCGGAATTTGCAACGACCCCGGAACGATTCTAACATTTCATCTATGGTTACATTTTCTCCAACCTGATAGTTAGCCCGACACTTTTCGACAAATAAATCAAATATTTCACGAATTGGTGCAATATTGTCACACTCAGATCTCTCCTGACGAGTCTGTACATCATCAAATCGAATGCATCTCATCAAAATCATAAATCGGTTGCGATTCATGACAGCTCGATGTATATCAGGAGCGGTACGATCTGTCTCCCACATTTCTTTTAAATTTAGGTGATTCATTTTCTTTATACCAGCCATGTACAAGAGCCCAATAAATGCTTTTATCTCTATGATATCCGTCTCTTTACAGTCTCTGTCTCTTGCATAACGGTCCATAATTTTTTTTAATGTAATTATTTGTATAAAAAACAATTTTAGTAAGCATGTCCTCACTTACAAAAAGGAGAAAACATTCAATAATATGTTTAGCGCCTTAGGCTACTGGTTTTACCCCTGGTCTACTGTCAACTATGTTATGTGACCTTGTTCTTATATTGGTACGTTGTGGACGATAATTCCACTTGGTAATTTTTTCCTTGCCTAGTTATATAGACCGTGCTCGGATTGACTTGAATAATTCTCACCTTCATCTTCGCATGATGACTGTTCCGTGTCGGTGCAATGTTCACTGTGATCACTATCTCCGTCACTCTCTGCTTTGTCAATCCTACTATCTGGGTCCTCTATTTCCTTCGTAACTTCTTCCATCAGCCACGCCACAATTTGTTGCTCCCTTTTATCCATCTACAATAAACATAAATCTAATTTTATTATTTTAAATTATAGTTTATACACAAACCATCACTGTTAATTTAAAAAATGACATAAAACGTAGAATATAAAAATATTAAACATTTGAAAAAAAACTTACAAAAACAATACTCTTGTGGCGGCACTGTCGTCGAGCCGCAAGTGAAACATACCGAAGCCTAAATCACGCTATCAACATTCCGAATCATAAACAGTATATATAGAACTTCTTCTCGCGTGTTACTATTCCTTTACAATTCAAGGTCACCATCCCACTCATCATCAACAGTCACTGAACCAGCATGTGGGTAATTTACACTAGCGGGCTTACTATAATGATAGATGTACCGAAATGTGCCTGGAAATGAGGTAGCCAATCCTGTAACAGACACAATGTTCAATGATAGCCAGTCCCATCTAGCATGGTGATTGATTATATGACCCAAATGATTTAGGTTTACCTTTACTCTGCTGGGCACATTTTGACTCCCTTTGAGAGATGGATAATCGGAGTTAACTAATGATATCTGCCTTAAATCTAATTTTATAACCATGGCATTGCTCCATCGTTTTACGGATTGGTTCTGTTCTAGCAGTTGTGTATAACCCTTGGATGGTGTACATGACCATGCCATAGCTCTTCGTGGGACGGTGCACAGCCAGCAAAATGATTGACTTCACTAATATGAAAATTACCAAGCTACTCTCTCCCATATGGATACTGATTTCGAAAAAGCTCCATTCAAGTTATGAATCGCCTAGTCCAATAAATGGTCACTACGAGTATAATCAAAGCTATAAGTATGTCAGCATGGAACTCTATTGAGGCAACATGGGTCGCCACCTCTTTAAGCTTGTAACTGAGAATTGTTGGTGGTGTCGAACTAATATTCTCCACTCCTGTTGTTTGGTTTATCCAGAAGTTCACTGTTGTTGTGTGTAGTTGGGTGTTGTTGATAGGGGCGGCAAATCCCTTGAGAGGCATGCTTGCAGCAGTAACAATTGCAGGACTTACACAACACCTCCTTAGTACAAGGAAGATTATATAAACAATTAGAATCATGAGCACTGCACCTATTAACCACACTATAGCACTCCTCCAACCAGTGAACCAATCACCTATTGAGAATCCTGCTGCCGCATCTTCGGCAACTTTCTTCTTTAACTTGATTATTTCATTAGTTAATATCTCTATATCCGAGTGGTAAGTCTTCGTAGCATTCCGAGAATTGGTGATCAAGTCTGATAGTTTTGCTACGCTACCTTCTACCTGTGGAGCAGACACGTTGAAGATCTCATTAGCCCTTTTAAGCCTGGCTGAGGCAATATTTGTAGAATAAAAATCAATTGTGTCTAGCTTCAACTCTGGAAGGTCTCCAAAGACGTATTTGTCTCCCACCAATGATTCACTCTTTACAGAATCTAATATCTCCTGGGTTGGTTCGATCTTGTAACCATCTATCTTTGCTATACAGTTAGCTGGTAGGATTAATCTTGTTTGGCTTTAGAGAGTTTTCGTGCTCTGGCTTGTTTTTGTCCCGTTTCGACAGATTACTGCAAGGTCACGTGTCTCAGCATTGTGTGTTATCAGCCATGTATTCGTGTCTATAGGAGTAATAAAGACTTGCCCTGATCTTATCACCACGTAGAACAGCATGTGCACCACAGTCTTGGTCAGTGTTGGTGCCCCACACATGGGGTAAATTGCAGGTACTATAAGGTAACGAACTGCATGTATGGTAATCATCTTTATCCATACCCATCCATTCCCCCAATTCACTATTGATGATGTACACAGGGTGTTTTATTTGAGCCTTGTACCAAAAACCACCTATATAGAGTGGGTGAGTTATCATCTTAACTGTAAAATAATGTCTTGGTTTCTTTATTATTGGTACTGTCATCACGAGTATTACATGTCCAGCATTCACACCCACCTTAACTGGTATGTGGCTGAGCATCTCGTCAAAGAGGATAGCAGGTGGTAATGCCAGGCTCTCAGGTAAACTTTGGGTTATTGATTTCATAACTTCTACAACCTGGCTGGTGTGCACTAGTGATAATAGCAGGCCACTCCACCATTCCACTGACCATGGCATCGCTAAAGTAAACATAAAATTCGGCTGATGTTAACAAGGAAGTCTCTAGTAATGATGTCTTTGCATTGCATTCGGTTAATTCTATCAATGTTAACATAATGGCCTGAGTTAATTCTTCCGCTCTAGACATATTCTTTAGTGAGTCCTTCAACATGTCAAAATTTTCATTCATTACCTCACTCGATTGCTTGAGGGCATCCTGGGTGTGAGTTATTACTTTGGCCAATGATTGGAACTCATCAGCTGTGGTCCTAGACAGAGATTGAATCGATCGAGCGTTGGTTTCAACGAATCTGACTGTTAAGTTTAACTGATGATTACCTGCTCATCAGTGGCCACCCCAGCAAACCAATGATAGAAATCGCCTATGAAGTCAAGACTGCGCCTCCTCCTGTGATAATTATCTTTGCGGGATAGGCTATCATCAGGCCTAAACGGTGTTTGAGAGTTTGAGCGATTAGCGAAACCCCGCGCGTTAGAGGTGATTCGAACAAACCTTCCTCTATGACTGACTGGAGCACACTAACCCAAGGCCAACGTATGTTGCGGGACGGAGAGGGAATAAAACACAGCTACACGGCGCAAGAGACTGTCAGGTAGGTTTTTGACAGAATGGCGCCATTTTTAAATTTACCGTGAGCAAAATGCTCATAGCGCGAGTTCTCGCGGGTTAATTAATTCTGCCACGCTTTGGTGGCAAGGACCGTCGTTTTTAACCGAGAATTCGTGTAATTGGCCCAAAAATGTTAATATAAAAAATATTTCTTGTTTACCTGAAAGGAAAACTTATACTAAATCACTACAATCTACAACTACACTACAGTCTTCAACTACACTACAGTCTACAACTACACTACAGTCTACAACTACAACCTACAACAGCACGACAATCTACATGTTCATCAAATACTACTTTTACTCTTAGCAAGTCTATGATAGTAAATGTTGAAAGATATTCAAGATTCACAACATTACAAAGACGTTTAGCTTACGTTCTACGTTTTTATTCACAATTTACAACATAAACATCACTTAACAATCAGCGAATTAGAGTCATCTGTAGAAGTCTTAATAAAACAACATCAGAACGAATGCTTTGCAGATGAAATTAAGGTTTTAAAAACTAAGGGAAACTTCCCATCTAAGTCCCGCTTATTGGCGTTAAGTCCATTTCTAGACGCACGGGAAAAACTTCGCGTTGGTGGCCGTACTCAAAACTCTAATGAAGCATACGAAAGAAAGAATATCCAATTTTATTAGAAACGAAAAATGCCTTTTGTAAATTGCTATTTGGTCATTATCATAAAAAACTTTTACATTGTGGACCGCAATTTTTACTTACCGATATAAGAAACAAATTTTGGCCTTTAAGAGGTAGAGTATTGGCAAGATCAACTGTCAACAACTGCCAGCTGTGTAAAATAATAAAGGTGAAGTGTAATCCTATAATGGGTAATTTGCCTGCTACTAGAGTCATTCCAAATCCTCCTTTTCACATAAGCGGGGTGGACTTTGCTGGGCCATTTTTTATTACTGACCGTAAACGTCGCGGTTGCAAAATAACCAAATGTTACTTATGTTTATTTATTTGTTTCAATACAAAGGCCTTGCATCTTGAAGTAGCAAGCAATCTAAGTACCGATATTTTTATACTGTGTTTAAGACGTTTTATATCCCGAAGGGGAAAAGCCTCTTAAATTATATTGTGACAATGGTAAAAATTTGTCGGTGCAAGTAATGAAATTACAAAATTTTTAAAATTGAACTGTGAAAGCATATCTGGTTATGCTGCTGATGAAGGCATACAATTTAAATTTTCACCTTCGTATTCTCCGCATTTTGGCGGACTTTGGGAAGCAGGTGTCAAATATGCAAAGTACCACGCAACTAGAATATTAGGCGACAAACATCTTATCTTTGAGGAGTTATCTACTTTATTTACGCAAATTGAGGCAATCCTTAATTCTAGGCCATTAACCCCGCTTTCCTCAGACCCCAATGACCTCAATCTTTAATACCAGCGCACTTCTTGATCGGCAGGCCACTTTCATCACTACCATCGGAAAGCTTGTTAGACATTAATTTAAATAGACTTGATAGGTACCGATGCCTTTAAAAGCTGCGTCAACACTTCTGGGAACGCTGGCGAAAAGAATACTTGAGCGAATTACAACAAAGGTACAAATGGCAGGTCAATCAACGAGGATTTCAGGAAGGGGATTTGGGAGGCTAATGTACCACCTTTGAAATGGCGTATGGCGCGAATACATAAATTACATCCTGGTTCTGATGAAATTGTACGAGTTGCAGATGTCTACACGACGAATGGCATTGTGCGCCGTGCCGCCCACAACCTGTGCCCTTTGTCGAGTTAAGCCACAGCAAAAGCACCTCAAATTCCTGAGTACTTTGAGGGGGGTGGGGAGGATGTTTAATCTCCATACTTGAACGCGTCCGACAGTGACGTCTCTCATCGTCACGAACTGGCCGGGCGCGACATTACGCTCTGAGCTCCGTACCCGACAACTAGTTTCAAATAAAATCATTGTAATTAACTCATTAAATGTACTATACCCTATCGCGGAATTTCATTGTACTTCAAATCCACAAGAAATTGAAGACAAGCGTAATCACTTTTTTACATAGAGCAGCATTCTTTTTTCAACTTGGCAACGTTCGATTAACTTGAAGCTGGTAACCATTAAGAAAAATATAACTTTCAAACAGTAAAGGTCGAAACATACTATCAAAACGCAACGCGATGTGTTATGTCGACACCCGACGCTCGTCGTGCATATAGGCAACACGCCACGCGATGCTACAACACGTACCTATCGTGTAGTGTAGTCTCTCACGAAAGACTGAAGTGTATTGACGTGTGACGTGGCCATGGATTCGATTCTGCTTGAAGACGAGTTAGATGAAGATTTTGAAGAAGATTTATTACAGATTTTGGTGATATATTTTGTACAGAAATAGTTAATAAAAAAAGACGTACTAGACGCAGACGATACTTGGTTCATGAAATAAATCAAGACAGAGCTATGTACGGTGAATATAACACCCTTTACAAAAAATTGGTTAAAGATAGTGAGAGATATCATATATATTTTCGGATGAATGAAACTGAATTTGATGTTTTACATGACTTTATTAAAGATGACATCTACAAGAAAGGAACAAGTTATCGTGAAGCTATAAGCACAAAAGAAAGACTGGCATTGGCTCTCAGGTAAGTACAAAACATTTTCTATATTATCTATGCCTATTCATTATTATTATAATTAATATAATATTCTCTCAGACTTGTTTCGTCACTTTCGTTTTCAACTTCTTCATAATGTGCTACATTGTCACTTATATATTGATGATTCGTTACAAAAAAATGGTATTATTATTCAATGTTCGAGCTGTTTCGGAAAGTACTACATTGTCACTCACATTTTGATTATTCGTTTCATAAAATTGGGTTTTTGATGTTACAGTGTTTCTTGTATTTAGATGCGAAGTATTTGGATATTGTATTGTTTGGTTCCGAATCACACATAGCGGCGTCCTCAATAGTTGTTCGCGTTTTTTTAACATATTAATTTCGGCATCATGTATAAAGTTTATGCATTTGAAACTTAATATTAACTTTGTCCATCTCAGGTAATTTTTTTAATTGTTTACTCATGGACAGGAAGAAATAATCTGTTTCATCCATCTCTGACATTCTTTTTTGTCGTGCTTCTTGAGAAGATTTAATAACATTAAAAGGACACACAGGCAATCGGACTGCACAATCGACCTCCGGTCTGAGCAGGGGGTGATGTGGCGGCACTTTCGTGGAGCCGCAAGTGAAACATACCGAAGCCTAAATCACGCTATCAACATTCCGAATCATAAACAGTATATATATAGAACATCTTCTCGTGTGTTACCATTCCTTTACAATTCAAGGTCACCATCCCACTCATCATCAACAGTCACTGCACCAGTATGTGGGTAATTTACACTAGCGGGCTTACTATAATGATAGATGTACCGAAATGTGCCTGGAAATGAGATACCCAATCCTGTAACAGACACAATGTTCAATGATAGCCAGTCCCATCTAGCATGGTGATTGATTATATGACCCAAATGATTTAGGTTTACCTTTACTTTGCTGGGCACATTTTGACTCCATTTGAGAGATGGATAATCGGAGTTAACTAATGATATCTGCCTTAAATCTAATTTCATAACCATGGCATTGCTCCATCGTTTTACGGATTGGTTCTGTTCTAGCAGTTGTGTATAACCCTTGGATGGTGTACATGACCATGCCATAGCTCTTCCTGGGATGGTGCACAGCTCGATTGGGATTTCAAATACACGGTGTGATCGTCCTAGAAATGATGTTGACTTCACTAATATGAAAATTACCAAGCTACTTTCTCCCATATGGTGTGGTATCAGCTGATTTCGAGTGAACAAGCCCATCCGTGATTACATGTGGCGGTGTTCAGAAGTTATGAATCGCCTAGTCCAATAAATGGTCACTACGAGTATAATCAAAGCTATAAGTATATCAGCATGGAACTCTATTGAGGCAACGTGGGTCGCCACCTCTTATAGCTTATAACTGAGAATTGTTGGTGGTGTCGAACTAATATTCTCCACTCCTGTTGTTTGGTTTATCCAGAAGTTCACTGTTGTTGTGTGTAGTTGGGTGTTGTTGATAGGGGCGGCAAATCCCTTGAGAGGCATGCTTGCAGCAGTAACAATTGCGGGACTTACACAACACCCTTAGTACAAGGAAGATTATATAAACAATTATAATCATGAGCACTGCACCTATTAACCGCACTATAGCACTCCTCCACCCAGTGAACCAATCACCTATTGAGAATCCTGCTGCCGCATCTTCGGCAACTTTCTTCTTTAACTTGATTATTTCATTAGTTAATATCTCTATATCCGAGTGGTAAGTCTTCGTAGCATTCCGAGAATTGGTGATCAAGTCTGATAGTTTTGCTACGCTACCTTCTACCTGTGGAGCAGACACGTTGAAGACCTCATTAGCCCTTTTAAGCCTGGCTGAGGCAATATTTGTAGAATCAAAATCAATTGTGTCTAGCTTCAACTCTGGAAGGTCTCCAAAGACGTATTTGTCTCCCACCAATGATTCACTCTTCACAGAATCTAATATCTCCTGGGTTGGTTCGATTTTGTAACCATCTATCTTTGCTATACAGTTAGCTGGTAGGATTAATCTTGTTTGGCTTTGAGTTTTCGTACTCTGGCTTGTTTTTGTCCCGTTTCGACAGATTACTGCAAGGTCACGTGTCTCAGCATTGTGTGTTATCAGCCATGTATTCGTGTCTATAGGAGTAATAAAGACTTTCCCTGATCTTATCACCACGTAGAACAGCATGTGCACCACAGTCTTGGTCAGTGTTGGTGCCCCACACATGGGGTAAATTGCAGGTACTATAAGGTAACGAACTGCATGTATGGTAATCATCTTTATCCATACCCATCCATTCCCCCAATTCACTATTGATGATGTACACAGGATGTTTTATTTGAGCCTTGTACCAAAACCCACCTATATAGAGTGGGTGAGTTATCATCTTAACTGTAAAATAATGTCTTGGTTTCTTTATTATTGGTACTGTCATCACGAGTATTACATGTCCAGCATTCACACCCACCTTAACTGGTATGTGGCTGAGCATCTCGTCAAAGAGGATAGCAGGTGGTAATGCCAGGCTCTCAGGTAAACTTTGGGTTATTGATTTCATAACTTCTACAACCTGGCTGGTGTGCACTAGTGATAATAGCAGGTTTCCACTGACCATGGCATCGCTAAAGTAAACATAAAATTCGGCTGATGTTAACAAGGAAGTCTCTAGTAATGATGTCTTTGCATTGCATTCGGTTAATTCTATCAATGTTAACGTAATGGCCTGAGTTAATTCTTCCGCTCTAGACATATTCTTTAGTGAGTCGTTAAACATGTCAAAATTTTCATTCATTACCTCACTCGATTGCTTGAGGGCATCCTGGGTGTGAGTTATTACTTTGGCCAATGATTGGAACTCATCAGCTGTGGTTCTAGACAGAGATTGAATCGATCGAGCGTTGGTTTCAACGAATCTGACTGTTAAGTTTAACTGATGATCAAATTTTTCCAACATAGACAACACATCTCTTATCTGCTCATCAGTGGCCACCCCAGCAAACCAATGATATAAATCGCCTATGAAGTCAAGACTGCGCCTCCTCCTGTGATAATTATCTTTGCGGGATAGGCTATCATCAGGCCTAAACGGTGTTTGAGATTTTGAGCGATGAGCGAAACCCCGCGCGTTAGAGGTGATTCGAACAAACCTTCCTCTATGACTGACTGGAGCACATTAACCCAAGGCCAACGTATGTTGCGGGACGGAGAGGGAATAAAACTCAGCTACACGGCGCAAGAGACTGTAAGGTAGGTTTTTGACAGAATGGCGCCATTTTTAAATTTACCGTGAGCAAAATGCTCATACCGCGAGTTCTCGCGGGTTAATTAATTCTGCCACGCTTTGGGGGCAAGGACCGTCGTTTTTGACCGATAATTCATGTAATTGGCCCAAAAATGTTAATATAAAAAATATTTCTTGTTTACCTTAAAGGAAAACTTATACTAAATCACTACAATCTACAACTACAATACAGTCTACAACTACACTACAGTCTACAACTACAACCTACAACAGCACGACAATCTACATGTTCATCAAATACTACTTTTACTCTTAGCAAGTCTATGATAGTGAATGTTGAAAGATATTCAAGATTCACAACATTACAAAGACGTTTAGCTTACGTTCTATGTTTTTATTCACAATTTACAACATAAACATCACAAATTTACTGGTCCCTTAACAATCAGCGAATTAGAGTCATCTGTAGAAGTCTTAATAAAACAACATCAGAACGAATGCTTTGCAGATGAAATTAAGGTTTTAAAAACTAAGGGAAACTTCCCATCTAAGTCCCGCTTATTGGCGTTAAGTCCATTTCTAGACGCACGGGAAAATCTTCGCGTTGGTGGCCGTACTCAAAACTCTAATGAAGCATACGAAAGAAAATATCCAATTTTATTAGAAACGAAAAATGCCTTTTGTAAATTGCTATTTGGTCATTATCATAAAAAACTTTTACATTGTGGACCGCAATTTTTACTTACCGATATAAGAAACAAATTTTGGCCTTTAAGAGGTAGAGTATTGGCAAGATCAACTGTCAACAACTGCCAGCTGTGTAAAATAATAAAGGTGAAGTGTTTTAATCCTATAATGGGTAATTTGCCTGCTACTAGAGTCATTCCAAATCCTCCTTTTCACATAAGCGGGGTGGACTTTGCTGGGCCATTTTTTATTACTGACCGTAAACGTCGCGGTTGCAAAATAACCAAATGTTACTTATGTTTATTTATTTGTTTCACTACAAAGGCCTTGCATCTTGAAGTAGCAAGCAATCTAAGTACCGATATTTTTATACTATGTTTAAGACGTTTTATATCCCGAAGGGAAAAGCCTCTTAAATTATATTGTGACAATGGTAAAAATTTGTCGGTGCAAGTAATGAAATTACAAAATTTTTAAAATTGAACTGTGAAAGCATATCTGGTTTTGCTGCTGATGAAGGCATACAATTTAAATTTTCACCTGCGTATTCTCCGCATTTTGGCGGACTTTGGGAAGCAGGTGTCAAATATGCAAAGTACCACGCAACTAGAATATTAGGCGACAAACATCTTATCTTTGAGGAGTTATCTACTTTATTTACGCAAATTGAGGCAATCCTTAATTCTAGGCCATTAACCCCGCTTTCCTCAGACCCCAATGACCTCAATCCTTTAATACCAGCGCACTTCTTGATCGGCAGGCCACTTTCATCACTACCATCGGAAAGCTTGTTAGACATTAATTTAAATAGACTTGATAGGTACCGATGCCTTTAAAAGCTGCGTCAACACTTCTGGGAACGCTGGCGAAAAGAATACTTGAGCGAATTACAACAAAGGTACAAATGGCAGGTCAATCAACGAGGATTTCAGGAAGGGGATTTGGGAGGCTAATGTACCACCTTTGAAATGGCGTATGGCGCGAATACATAAATTACATCCTGGTTCTGATGAAATTGTACGAGTTGCAGATGTCTACACGACGAATGGCATTGTGCGCCGTGCCGCCCACAACCTGTGCCCTTTGTCGAGTTAAGCCACAGCAAAAGCACCTCAAATTCCTTAGTACTTTAAGGGGGGGGGGAGGATGTTTAATCTCCATACTTGAACGCGTCCGACAGTGACGTCTCTCATCGTCACGAACTGGCCGGGCGCGACATTACGCTCTGAGCTCCGTACCCGACAACTAGTTTCAAATAAAATCATTGTAATTAACTCATTAAATGTACTATACCCTATCGCGGAATTTCATTGTACTTCAAATCCACAAGAAATTGAAGACAAGCGTAATCACTTTTTTACATAGAGCAGCATTCTTTTTTCAACTTGGCAACGTTCGATTAACTTGAAGCTGGTAACCATTAAGAAAAATATAACTTTCAAACAGTAAAGGTCGAAACATACTATCAAAACGCAACGCGATGTGTTATGTCGACACCCGACGCTCGTCATGCATATAAGCAACACGCCACGCGATGCTACAACACGTACCTATCGTGTAGTGTAGTCTCTCACGAAAGACTGAAGTGTATTGACGTGTTCTACGAAGATTTGAAGAAGAATTACGATTTGGTGTAGCAAAAAAAAAACCACAAATAAAAAGCTACAAAAACATTACAGACTTATTAAAGATGACATCTACAAGAAAGGAACAAGTTATCGTGAAGCTATAAGCACAAAAGAAAGACTGGCATTGGCTCTCAGGTAAGTTTCGTTCTCTCAGACTTGTTTCGTCACTTTCGTTTTCAACTTCTTCATAATGTGCTACATTGTCACTTATATATTGATGATTCGTTACAAAAAAATGGTATTATTATTCAATGTTCGAGCTGTTTCGGAAAGTACTACATTGTCACTCACATTTTGATTATTCGTTTCATAAAATTGGGTTTTTGATGTTACAGTGTTTTTTGTATTTAGATGCGAAGTATTTGGATATTGTATTGTTTGGTTCCGAATCACACGTAGCGGCGTCCTCAATAGTTGTTCGCGTTTTTTTAACATATTAATTTCGGCATCATGTATAAGTTTATGCATTTGAAACTTAATATTAACTTTGTCCATCTCAGGTAATTTTTTTAATTGTTTACTCATGGACAGGAAGAAATAATCTGTTTCATCCATCTCTGACATTCTCTTTTGTCGTGCTTCTTGAGAAGATTTAATAACATTAAAAGGACACACAGGCAATCGGACTGCACAATCGACCTCCGGTCTGAGCAGGGGGGTGATGTGGCGGCACTTTCGTGGAGCCGCAAGTGAAACATACCGAAGCCTAAATCACGCTATCAACATTCCGAATCATAAACAGTATATATATAGAATATCTTCTCGTGTGTTACCATTCCTTTACAATTCAAGGTCACCATCCCACTCATCATCAACAGTCACTGCACCAGTATGTGGGTAATTTACACTAGCGGGCTTACTATAATGATAGATGTACCGAAATGTGCCTGGAAATGAGATACCCAATCCTGTAACAGACACAATGTTCAATGATAGCCAGTCCCATCTAGCATGGTGATTGATTATATGACCCAAATGATTTAGGTTTACCTTTACTTTGCTGGGCACATTTTGACTCCATTTGAGAGATGGATAATCGGAGTTAACTAATGATATCTGCCTTAAATCTAATTTCATAACCATGGCATTGCTCCATCGTTTTATGGATTGGTTCTGTTCTAGCAGTTGTGTATAACCCTTGGATGGTGTACATGACCATGCCATAGCTCTTCCTGGGACAGTGCACAGCTCGATTGGGATTTCAAATACACGGTGTGATCGTCCTAGAAATGATGTTGACTTCACTAATATGAAAATTACCAAGCTACTCTCTCCCATATGGTGTGGTATCAGCTGATTTCGAGTGAACAAGCCCATCCGTGCTTACATGTGGCGGTGTTCAGAAGTTATGAATCGCCTAGTCCAATAAATGGTCACTACGAGTATAATCAAAGCTATAAGTATATCAGCATGGAACTCTATTGAGGCAACGTGGGTCGCCACCTCTTATAGCTTATAACTGAGAATTGTTGGTGGTGTCGAACTAATATTCTCCACTCCTGTTGTTTGGTTTATCCAGAAGTTCACTGTTGTTGTGTGTAGTTGGGTGTTGTTGATAGGGGCGGCAAATCCCTTGAGAGGCATGCTTGCAGCAGTAACAATTGCGGGACTTACACAACACCTCCTTAGTACAAGGAAGATTATATAAACAATTATAATCATGAGCACTGCACCTATTAACCGCACTATAGCACTCCTCCACCCAGTGAACCAATCACCTATTGAGAATCCTGCTGCCGCATCTTCGGCAACTTTCTTCTTTAACTTGATTATTTCATTAGTTAATATCTCTATATCCGAGTGGTAAGTCTTCGTAGCATTCCGAGAATTGGTGATCAAGTCTGATAGTTTTGCTACGCTACCTTCTACCTGTGGAGCAGACACGTTGAAGACCTCATTAGCCCTTTTAAGCCTGGCTGAGGCAATATTTGTAGAATCAAAATCAATTGTGTCTAGATTCAACTCTGGAAGGTCTCCAAAGACGTATTTGTCTCCCACCAATGATTCACTCTTCACAGAATCTAATATCTCCTGGGTTGGTTCGATCTTGTAACCATCTATCTTTGCTATACAGTTAGCTGGTAGGATTAATCTTGTTTGGCTTTGAGTTTTCGTACTCTGGCTTGTTTTTGTCCCGTTTCGACAGATTACTTATCTGAAAAGAAAGCTTATACTAAATCACTACAATCTACAACTACACTACAGTCTACAACTACACTCCAACCTACAACAGCACGACAATCTACATGTTCATCAAATACTACTTTAACTCTTAGCAAGTCTATGATAGTAAATGTTGAAAGATATTCAAGATTCACAACATTACAAAGACGTTTAGCTTACGTTCTACGTTTTTATTCACAATTTACAACATAAACATCAAAATTTACTTCTTAACAATCAGCGAATTAGAGTCATCTTTAGAAATCTTAATAAAACGACATCAGAACGAATGCTTTGCAGATGAAATTAAGGTTTTAAAAACTAAGGGAAACTTCCCATCTAAGTCCCGCTTATTGGCGTTAAGTCCATTTCTAGACGCACGGGAAAAACTTCGCGTTGGTGGCCGTACTCAAAATCTAATGAAGCATACGAAAGAAAATATCCAATTTTATTAGAAACGAAAAATGCCTTTGCTATTTTCAAAAAACTTTTACATTGTGACCAATCAAAAAAATACCAATTTTATTATAAACGAAAAATGCCTTTTGTAAATTGCTATTTGTTCATTATCATAAAAAACTTTTACATTGTGGACCGCAATTTTTACTTACCGATATAAGAAACAAATTTTGGCCTTTAAGAGGTAGAGTATTGGCAAGATCAACTGTCAACAACTGCCAGCTGTGTAAAATAATAAAGGTGAAGTGTTTTAATCCTATAATGGGTAATTTGCCTGCTACTAGAGTCATTCCAAATCCTCCTTTTCACATAAGCGGGGTGGACTTTGCTGGGCCATTTTTTATTACTGACCGTAAACGTCGCGGTTGCAAAATAACCAAATGTTACTTATGTTTATTTATTTGTTTCACTACAAAGGCCTTGGATTTTGAAGTAGCAAGCAATCTAAGTACCGATATTTTTATACTGTGTTTAAGACGTTTTATATCCCGAAGGGGAAAGCTTCTTAAATTATATTGTGAAAATGGTAAAAATTTGTCGGTGCAAATAATGAAATTACAAATTTTTAAAAATTGAACTGTGAAAGCATATCTGGTTATGCTGCTGATGAAGGCATACAATTTAAATTTTCACCTGCGTATTCTCCGCATTTTGGCGGACTTTGGGAAGCAGGTGTCAAATATGCAAAGTACCACGCAACTAGAATATTAGGCGACAAACATCTTTGAGGAGTTATCTACTTTATTTACGCAAATTGAGGCAATCCTTAATTCTAGGCCATTAACCCCGCTTTCCTCAGACCCCAATGACCTCAATCCTTTAATACCAGCGCACTTCTTGATCGGCAGACCACTTACATCACTACCACCGGAAAGCTTGTTAGACATTAATTTTAATAGACTTGATAGGTACCGATGCCTTAAAAGCTGCGTCAACACTTCTGGGAACGCTGGCGAAAAGAATACGTAAGCGAATTACAACAAAGGTACAAATGGCAGGTCAATCAACGAGGATTTCAGGAAGGGGATTTGGGAGGCTGATGTACCACCTTTGAAATGGCGTATGGCGCGAATACATAAATTACATCCTGGTTCTGATGAAATTGTACGAGTTGCAGATGTCTACACGACGAATGGCATTGTGCGCCGTGCCGTCCACAACCTGTGCCCTTTGTCGAGTTAAGCCACAGCAGAAGCACCTCAAATTCCTGAGGACTTTGAGGGGGGGGGGAGGATGTTTAATCTCCATACTTGAACGCGTCCGACAGTGACGTCTCTCATCGTCACGAACTTGCCGGGCGCGACATTACGCTCTGAGCTCCGTACCCGACAACTAGTTTCAAATAAAATTATTGTAATTAACTCATTAAATGTACTATACCCTATCGCGGAATTTCATTGTACTTCAAATCCACAAGAAATTGAAGACAAGCGTAATCACTTTTTTACATAGAGCAGCATTCTTTTTTCAACTTGGCAACGTTCGATTAACTTGAAACTGGTAACCATTAAGAAAAATATAACTTTCAAACAGTAAAGGTCGAAACATACTATCAAAACGCAACGCGGTGTGTTATGTCGACACCCGACGCACGTCGTGCATATAGAACGTTGATGTCTTCTTCACATGTCGGATAACACATGGAGGTTTCAGGCCTCGGGGTAAGCCCCCATTACCCGTGCTGTCCTTGCGGTCCACCACTATGGACCGGTCCTGGGAGCCTTCTAATGGCATTGTAGGTGTCATACGATTTGTCGCAATCGGTAAATTTTTCGTAGTCGGTTATGACTACGAAAAAAGGAGGTTATCTTATAAAGTCGGAGTTGGCCTTTCAGCGGCATTGAGGGTTGTTACTCGACTCTCTAATCGATATAGAGAGGAGTTCTCTTGGATAGGGTCGCCCGTCCGGAGGGCGAGAGTGTAGCGGCGCAAAGTTGTTTAGATGTAAGTGTGGCCCGTTGTCTGCACGGTCGAACAGTCCGCGCGCCAACCGGGCCACAAACTCCTGGATGGTGATGATCTTCAGGTTGGCCGCTATGACGTCATTCCGGACGTAGCGACCCGCACCGACGATGGTTCTTAACGCCATATTTTGCTGGGCCTGCAGTCGCCGCCTCAGAGGCTCGCTCAGAAGCGCGTACCAGGCCGGAGCAGCATAGGTGATGATTGATCTGATATAAGTCTTATAGACACGCACTTTGGTATTAAGTGGTAACTTGGATGCCAGGACCGGACGTAGCATCGCCCGCGCACATCGTGCTCTGCGGACAACGAGGTCGACGTGCGCAGTCATATGCAGCGCCCGGTCGATCCTGCATCCAAGGTAGGTCACGGCCTTCTCGTACGCGATCTGCTGGCCATTGAGGGTTAGTTGAGGTGGTAGGTTCCTGAGGCGGCGAGTGAGCAGAGCGGTCGTCTTACCAACGTTGACGACCATCCTCCACTCATCTAGCCATGGTGGCAACAGGTCCAGGAGGCGTTGCATCCTGGCAGCGGCAATATGGGCTCTTCTGGAAGAGGTGAAATAAGCGCTATCGTCCGTGTATAACGCCAATTCCACGTTGTCCTCCCATTCTTGCAGCCTGCCTGCCATGGTAGGGATGTCGTTGGTATAAGCCGCGTACAGGACTGGAGACAAACAGCTGCCCTGAGGAACGCCGGCTCTGATGGTTCTGGTTGCGGACTCGGCGCCCTCTACGCAGACGTAGAACTTCCTGTCTGCCAGGAAAGACGCCACTAGCCGCAACATAGCAGGAGGGACACTGGTCTGTTCTTCCAATTTAAAAAGTAGTCCAGAATGCCACACCCTGTCGAACGCCTTCTCGATATCGAGAAAGACGCCCAACGTAGTGCGGCCACGGTTGTAATCGGCCGCAAGCAGGTGCAGCACTCTGGTCAGCTGTGTTGCTGTAGAGTGACCCCTCCTGAATCCGTGCTGCTCCGCCCGAAGTTGGATGCACGGGCGGAGGCGTCTTAGCAACAATCTTTCAAGCAGTTTAGCTATGTGTGGTAGCAGCGTGATCGGCCTGTAGCTGGCAGCTCTACGCCTGTCCTTCCCGGGTTTCGGCAAGACGATTACTTTGCCTTTCTTCCAGTCCTCCGGGAAGTGGGATGTCCGCAGTATCCCATTGTAGAGTCGACCAAGCTCTACTAGGACTCTATGGGGCAGCTGTCGGAGTGCAGCGTTGGTAATCCCGTCGTGCCCCGGCGCCTTCCTCGGTTGCAGGCGGGTTGCTGTCCACCGCAGTTCAGCGGGGGAGATGAACCACTCTCCTGCAAGAGGCGGCGCGGGCGACGACAGGAACTCCTGTACGCGACTCTCCTTTGGGCATGAAGCTCCGAGAACTCCGCACTTGCTGGGTTCGGCATAAATTGCTCCTCGAAGTGCTCGACTAGGATATCCGCTCTACCCTTGGCATCGTAACGACGTTCACCCGCGTTGTTGGTCAGCGGGCAAACGGGAGGTTTGGCTTTAGTTAACTGCCGGTTCAGTTTGTAGAGCGACGCATCGTGCTCTTCCGCCTTCCATATGCGCCGCTCCCAGGCATCTCCTCTGTGTGCCTGGACTGCAACCGACAGTTCCTCCGACAAGGTGTTCAGTTTCGTTTTGATTCTCGGGCAGCGAGTACGCGCCCAGAGTCTCCTTAGGGCCCTTTTTCTCTTAATCTGCACGCAGATGTGTCGCGGCAGATCATCCCTTTTGGTGGACATCGGGACGATCATAGAGGCAGCGTTGTGGGCCTCTTGTATCGCCTTTGTCATATTTGCGGCTGCGGCCTCTACGTCGTCCGCTGTGTTCAAGGGGTGGTGTGCTGGAGGTCTCTCCTGCAGGTGTTTGTGGTAGAGCCTCCAGTCGACACGTGTCTTCACTGTTCTGGGCGGCGTAGTCACCGCCTTTAAGCCAAGGGTAATTAAGATCGGGAGGTGCTGTGATTCCAGGTCGTACAGCACCTCTACCACTATCGGCGTCATAGCCGTGTCTTTCGGCGTCTTCAAATAGTGCATGACCCGGCGGGTTGATCAATCTAGATCCCCACGCCGGGTGTTTGGCGTTTAGGTCCCCGGCGATGATGGTCGGTGTTTCGCCTTCCATTACCGTCCGGACGTCTGAGGAGCAAAATGGAGTCCCTGGCGGGCGGTATGCTGCGTAGATCCTAAGTTCCTCGCCCGCCGCCTCCATTTTTATGCCGATAGAGCGCATCGTTTGGTATTCCGGTAAGTCAAGTTCTTGGTGAACGATGTCCCTTCTCACTAGGACCGCTGTCCCTCTGTAGGCGGCCCCCTGAGAAGTGACCTCGTCCCTCCTATATATATGATAATTAGGCAGCTTAATGCGTGTACTCGGATTTAATTTCGTCTCTCCCAGCAAGATGACCATTACGTCTTGTTGTTGGGCGACGGTGCGGAGTTCTTGTAACTTGTGCTGGATTCCACCTGGGTTCCAGTAGAGGAGGCGCAGGTTAGACTCCTCCACTGTAGTGCCGAGCCAGTAGATTAGCCAGCGTCTTCATAACCGCTGTGATCGGATCTGTCCCGGCTCTGATATCAGCCAGGACTTGACTGCCGACCTCGATTGCTATGCCAACCAAACGTTGGATGGCGTCAGCAGTCTCGAAGCCGGCTAGAGGTGTTCTAGATGTGTGTGCGGAAGGCGCTGGTCTCGGGAGTTGGTGTACGTTTCTTTGTATATGGGTAGAGCGCGCTCTGTGTGTAGAGCGGGCTCTATTTTCTGATAGAGCCCTTTCTGGCACTCTACCCATTCTGGCTTTCTTGTCATCCATGGTAACCTGCGCCTGGGCTATCGTTACCGTTGGGGTTGGGGTAGAGGTTGCTGCCTGAGGAGGAGGCTGCACCTGCTTCTTCTTCTTCCTCCCCAGCTTACTCCTCTGAGAGGTTTGGCGCTCTATGGCGTCGTTAGCGGGGGGCTGAAGAGTCGCCCCGGTCGTTGCCTTTGATGTAGTGATGGTGGGCACCACCGTTCCTGTGGGTGCCGTGACGGGTGGAGGGGGGGCAGGTTGCCTTTCCTGGACCACGGCCCTGGGACGACTTTGGGGGACCCTCTTGGGCTCCTCTGGGAGTAGTCCCGGTAGAGTGATCCCCTGCTTCCTTGCAATCCTCCTCAGGACTGGGCAGCGGCGATCGTTGGCGGTATGGTTCTTAGCGCAGTTAGCGCATCGCGGTTCCTCATCTCTACCCCTTGGGCAGTTGCTGGCGATATGGTCTCCGGCGCAGCGAACACACTTCACTGGCCTGAAGCAATTCGTGGACGCATGGCCAAAGGCCTGGCAGCGGTGGCACTGTGAAGGGCCCGCTCTTCCTTGCCAGGCCTCTATGACGACTCCTCTCATGAAGAGGAGCTCGTCGATCTGGTATAATTCATTGAGGCGCTCCAGGCTCAGGTGGTCCAGCTGCGCGAAGTAGAGGCACCCAGGTCTGCCTCTACGGGGGGGATCCCTTTGACATATCTAATCGGGAACCCCTTAGCCCTGATAGCCCCCTCTATTGCAGATGGATCTGTGCCCACTGTTAGTCCCCGAATACCCACTTTCGTGGGCTTGTCCTCCTCGGGGGTGTAGCAGTACCAGGACATAGCTGGTACTTTCTCCGTAATCTCAATCAGGTACTTTTGTACCGTCCGGAATTCTTCCGGACTCTGGGGGGTGAATCTGACCCTCTTGCCGAACGGACGAGCATTCGGTGGGTGGCCTAGTTTCTTATTAAGTACTTCGAAGTGCTTCGTCCAATCCGGCAAGCACTCGGCCACTATAGGTGGGTACCTTTTAGCCGATTCTTCCGGCGGCTTTGGTGTTTCGGCTGTCTTGGTCCTTGGTACTGCCGGGGCAGCTACCAGTTGGGCATAGCTGGTCGAAGGCCTCTGACCATCATCTGATGGCCGGCCCGACGGGTTGGTGGTAGGCACAGACGGTGAATGTCCGGCAGACGTACTCGGCGCTAGTGTCGCGTACGTGGTGGCACTCCATCCATATGATCCTTCCCCTCCCTGCTCCAGATCAGCAGCATCCATACTGATGTGTTGTTCCGGTGTTCTGGGGGGGGTGGTTTTGATCGGCGATGGCGATTTTGGTGGTGATCTCCTAATCGGCTTTTCAGGTTGGTGGTCCGATTCTCCCTCAGATGATGAATAATCCGAGGAGTTGATAGTACTGTAGCATCGCCTCTTCTCCTGGAGGGATGCTGCTGTTTCTGGAGGCGTGTGCCTTCTCTGGGTCTTCTTGGCCCGCTGGGGTTGGGGGAACGGTTCCCGCCCAGTCGTACCTGCAGGTACGATGGGCGAGAGCGCGGTCCTCGGTGCGGGCTCTTTACCCGGTGAGGAGGGTTTCCTTGTCGGGATCTGAGAGTAGGAGGACACTACTCTAGTCCTTTCAGGATCGAAAATGTCGCGATACGCGATAGGACGGTCTAATACACCAGGACGGTCGGGTGGTCTTCTGGGTTTGGGTTTAGGTGGAGGCTCCCCCTTGTCCTTGTCGGACATATTGAAAACCTACCTAAGTCAGTCAGGTAGTCTCTAAGGCCCTGTCTAATAAATGCCAGCCGATTCGGCACGAAGCGCGACGCGGATAGCAGAGTATAGAACGTAGTTGGCGTATTCACACTGGGCACTGCCTACCCCTTTTGTCAACAAAAGGGTTGGGGGAAGTGCGACGGTGGCACTTTACGACGCGACTAGGCACAGGATGCTCGGAGCGCATAAAGTGCCCAAGAATCACCTAGGGGCCAGTGACCTCGACGCCTCACGGAATCACGGGACTCAACGTTCGGCGGAGTATGTCGTACCGGCGGTCATTTACAGCCACTGATAACTGCAAACAACGCACACCTAGGAGATCCTTATGTGCATATAGGCAACACGCCACGCGATGCTACAACACGTAGCTATCCTGTAGTGTAGTCTCTCACGAAAGACTGAAGTGTATTGACGTGTGACGTGGCCATGGATTCGATTCCGCTTGAAGACGAGCTATATGAAGATTTTGAAGAAGATTTATTACAGATTTTGGGGATATATTTTGTACAGAAACAGTTAATAAAAAAAGACGTAATAGACGCAGACCATACTTGGTTCATGAAATAAATCAAGACAGAGCTATGTACGGTGAATATCATACCCTTTACAAAAAATTGGTTAAAGATAGTGAGAGATATCATATATATTTTCGGATGAATTAAACTGAATTTGATGTTTCTTTATGAAAGATGACATCTACAAGAAAGGAACAAGTTATCGTGAAGCTATAAGCACGAAAGAAAGACTGGCAGTGATTCTCAGGTAAGTACAAAACATTTTCTTTATTATCTATACCTATTCATTACTATTATAATTAATATAATATTCTCTCAGACTTGTTTCGTCACTTTCGTTTTCAACTTCTTAATAATGTGCTACATTGTCACTTACATATTGATGATTCGTTACAAAAAAATTGGTATTATTATTCAATGTTCGAGCTGTTTCGGAAAGTACTACATTGTCACTCACATTTTGATTATTCGTTTCATAAAATTGGGTTTTTGATGTTACAGTGTTTTTTGTATTTAGATGCGAAGTATTTGGATATTGTATTGTTTGGTTCCGAATCACACGTAGCGGCGTCCTCAATAGTTGTTCGCGTTTTTTTAATATATTAATATCGGCATCATGTATAAGTTTATGCATTTGAAACTTAATATTAACTTTGTCCATCTCAGGTAATTTTTTTAATTGTTTACTCATGGACAGGAAGAAATAATATGTTTCATCCATCTCTGACATTCTCTTTTGTCGCGCTTCTTGAGAAGATTTAATAACATTAAAAGGACACACAGGCAAACTTACAATTCAAGGTCACTATCCCACTCATCCTCAACAGTCACTGCACCAGCATGTGGGTAATTTACACTAGCGGGCTTACTATAATGATAGATGTACCGAAATGTGCCTGGAAATGAGATATCCAATCCTGTAACAGACACAATGTTCAATGATAGCCAGTCCCATCTAGCATGGTGATTGATTATATGACCCAAATAATTTAGGTTTACCTTTACTCTGCTGGGCACATTTTGACTCCCTTTGAGAGATGGATAATCGGAGTTAACTAATGATATCTGCCTTAAATCTAATTTTATAACCATGGCATTGCTCCATCGTTTTACGGATTGGTTCTGTTCTAGCAGTTGTGTATAACCCTTGGATGGTGTACATGACCATGCCATAGCTCTTCCTGGGACGGTGCACAGCTCGATTGGGATTTCAAATACACGGTGTGATCGTCCAAGAAATGATGTTGACTTCACTAATATGAAAATTACCAAGCTACTCTCTCCCATATGGTGTGGTATCAGCTGATTTCGAGTGAACAAGCCCATCCGTGCTTACATGTGGCGGTGTTCAGAAGTTATGAATCGCCTAGTCCAATAAATGGTCACTACGAGTATAATCAAAGCTATAAGTATATCAGCATGGAACTCTATTGAGGCAACATGGGTCGCCACCTCTTTAAGCTTGTAACTGAGAATTGTTGGTGGTGTCGAACTAATATTCTCCACTCCTGTTTGGTTTATCCAGAAGTTCACTGTTGTTTTGTGTAGTTGGGTGTTGTTGATAGGGGCGGCAAATCCCTAGAGAGGCATGCTTGCAGCAGTAACAATTGCAGGGCTTACACAACACCTCCTTAGTACAAGGAAGATTATATAAACAATTAGAATCATGAGCACTGCACCTATTAACCGCACTATAGCACTCCTCCACCCAGTGAACCAATCACCTATTGAGAATCCTGCTGCCGCATCTTCGGCAACTTTCTTTTTTAACTTGATTATTTCATCAGTTAATATCTCTATATCCGAGTGGTAAGTCTTCGTAGCATTCCGTGAATTGGTGATCAAGTCTGATAGTTTTGCAAGGTAGCGTACCTTCTACCTGTGGAGCAGACACCTTGAAGACCTCATTAGCCCTTTTAAGCCTGGCTGAGGCAATATTTGTAGAATCAAAATCAATCGTGTCTAGCTTCAACTCTGGAAGGTCTCCAAAGACGTATTTGTCTCCCACCAATGATTCACTCTTCACAGAATCTAATATCTCCTGGGTTGGTTCGATCTTGTAACCATCTATCTTTGCTATACAGTTAGCTGGTAGGATTAATCTTGTTTGGCTTTAGAGAGTTTTCGTACTCTGGCTTGTTTTTGTCCCGTTTCGACAGATTACTGCAAGGTCACGTGTCTCAGCATTGTGTGTTATCAGCCATGTATTCGTGTCTATAGGAGTAATAAAGACTTGCCTTTTTGACTCTCGGTGTACCTCATTCATAATGCAGATCTCCCTGATCTTATCAGTCAGTCAGTGTTGGTGCCCCACACATGGGGTAAATTGCAGGTACTATAAGGTAACGAACTGCATGTATGGTAATCATCTTTATCCATACCCATCCATTCCCCCAATTCACTATTGATGATGTACACAGGGTGTTTTATTTGAGCCTTGTACCAAAAAAATCTATAAAATCTGATAGTGTCCCAAGCAGGTGGTAGTACCCAACCGCCTTCTCTACTGAAATTAGGATGTTTTTTAATTTCAGTAGCCTCACATATCATCCTTGGTAGGAATTAATGTTCTTTAACGAGGATTTGTGGTCTATCAAATCTGATGTATGTCTATCTGGTTGGGGTGACACCCTTGACATACGGTAGTACAGCAGGCACACGCTCAACTGCGGTCGGCTTCACTCGGTCACTGTGACGAAGACGTGGGACCCGAAGCTTGATTTTGTGCAGAACCTGCTTGACGTGCTGAAGCTCCGCGGCCAGGTGCTTGTTCTCACAGATCCCATATGCTCTCTGTAACAAAGATTTGCTCATGGTAACTAACTGTGAAGGATTATGGTGAGATTTACCGCTTAAATATCAGTTTGTATGGGTCTTTTTTCTATACACAGTGTGACCTATGATGTTGTTAGGATTTTGGATAACAAAAACATCTAGGAAAGCTAAGAAGTTATTTGCCTCAGATATAATATCATAATTACTGAATAGAATTTGGCACAGAGAGTGGTAACGATGGATAAAATTCATAGGAACAACATCCTGATTTAATATTTCTTGGGCCATATTCATGAGCCGCTCTAATTTGTTTCTTGGTACTTGCAATAATGCCTATATGCATTCATCACTATCTCCTGTTCTTACTTTCATCAAATATACAGCAAGTGCAAAGCATCCACTATGTTTACTTGACATTTTGGGCACTTCAGACAGAATTTATTGGCATTGTGATAAGCGTAGATAATAATGTACAGTATATTCGGGCATATTGTAAATATTTTCAAAGTCTATATGATGGTAAATATTATCTTACAATAATGTAGAAAAATCTATAATTTGTGCTACACTAAATATTTTAATATGGTTATATATTAATTCTAAAAGTAAATACCAAGAGTTACTATTTAAATGGTAGTTACTGATTCTACATTCTGGAGGTACATAGTAATTGTATTCACGAAAATACATACCCGCAATTCTGATGGAACAGTGAGTTGATTGGAATTGTTACAACCAGGAAAAAACATTGATTTTGTGTGAGTGGTGCTCTTACAAAATTAGGCAGCAGTATATTGTATGATGTATGATCTAAGCTTTGTTGTTCTAGGTTCAATACATTACTCACTTTAGATTGCTACAAGGATGGACTAGATGATTCAGATGGTTCCCGTTCTAAAGTTTAACGTGTTGCTGCTTTATCAATCCTTCGCAATCATGACACTCACGCGATGACGATGGCAACTGAAATAATATTAAATAAAAAAAATAAGACAAAGTGAACAAAATAAAATAGATTTGTTTACTTTAAACTCAAATATAGGTAAATGTTACTTAAAACTTAATGCCCTATATTATTTAATAATTAAGGACTGACTGCCTACCAGTAGTCCAAAAACAATTAAAAATCGACTGTCTTATTTCTTGGTATTTGATAAAAATTGTCCATTTCGTAACTATCTGGTGTTAGCTAGCTAATCTTATCGCCGTGTTACAAATAAGCTATTTTGTTTGTCAGGTATAGCTTGTGCATATGTTAAAAAATAAAACAACTTCATCATTTCATACATTCATCACTATCAAATATCAGCACTAGAATTAATAAATTAAAAACTGTTGAACACTTACTTTTAACTGTTGTCACACTATAATGTGATCGACAATCTCACTCCATATGAGTTCTTGAGAATTTATTTGAAAAATAACAAACAAAATAACACAATGGCAACTATTTAGTTGTGAATTCACTAGTACCTTTTTACTTGTTGAATTGTGATTTCATTTCGCATGACATATTTATAGCCATTTATACCTATAGCTGTCAGATTTGATGTTGCCACATAACTAACATAAATACAACGAAACGATATCGATTTGTATTCGATTAGTAATTTAATGAAAAAATAATAATATTTGAGTTTCGCTTTCAGTTCTACACGCTTTTTAAAATATATTTTCTTTTATTTTTTTAAATTATGTTTTAAACGTATTTTTAAGAACAGTTAAAATGTGGAGTAGCGTATTGTTATGCTCTAAACAGTTCATGGTAAATCAGCTAAAAATTCACTTGTTTAATTATCATAACATGATTCCATTTTAAATGTATTGTTAAAACAGATAACAATAACAGTTAAATTGTGCAGTAGCATTTTATTAATAAATAAATAAAATAAAAATAAAATTGATTTATTTCAGACTGTTGTCCATAATATTGTTAGTAGCATACAAAGACATCTTAAAAACTAGGTTAGTAATATTTTGGAAAATATTTATTTTAATTTAAATATCTGCCTGCACTGCGCGACACCCCTGCAACATGTGTGTGAGCGTACACCCAGTGCCGCAGTATCGGACAGTCAGGCTTTTCACTGATTACTCTGAGAATGGTGTTGGCGCTCCCCCCGCACCGTGCGCAGCAGGGATGCGATTCGCTTGCGCACTACGGTGTAAAACCCATCAGTGTGCGCCAATGCAAACATCCCTGATGCACTACAGTAACTTGGAAGCCCCAACAACATTCTCAGACCATTATTATATTGTACTCGGAGAGCGCCGACAGCCCCCCCGCGTGTAGTTGACCCATAGATTGCACGTATAAAGCGTTTGGCAGTATGCCTTAAACAGTGTTATTTTTACATCTGGACTGCTACGTGCAAATCTGCGAGCCAACATGTTGCAGCGGACTGCCATCACCCTCCTTTCCCTTTCAATATCCTTGTCATCCTTCAAGTCCTCGGTAACCACGTGACCGAGATACTTGAAGGATGGCACCCTTACAAGTTCACTACCGTTGACTTTGACAGGCGGTACATACATCACCTTACGAGTCCTGGCTTTAAAAACCATCAACTCGCTTTTCCTAGCATTATACAATAGGCCGTGGGATTCAGCATACTCCTCGCATATTGAGATCAGCCTTCTTAGAGCAGCAACTGACGGGCTCAGCAACACCATGTCGTCCGCGTAACTGATGCTGTTTACACAGAGACCATCAATGAAACAGCCGACACTGGTGTTGCCAAGCCTAACAATCAGCTCGTCTATATACAAATTAAAAAGCGTCGGGGAGGTCAAACCACCCTGCCTCACCCCACACTCCAATCCGTACGCATCAGAAAGCTGATCCAACCATTTGACTTGGTTAGTCTGGTGGCCATACCAATATTTAAGAATATTTATAATCTCACCAGGAACTCCTGAATTTTGTAGTTTTTTCCACAGGATGTCATACCTAACCAAGTCAAACGCCCTGGACAAGTCAAGAAAAGCCGCGTAAACCGGAGTCTTCCTATCCATATAATACCTGACAGTATGCTTGAGAGCCAGAATGGCGCACTCAGTTGACAGTTTTGGCCTGAAACCGAATTGAGTGTCGTGCAGAACCAGGTGACGCTTGAGCTGTCTCTCAACCAGACCGTCAAGTACTTTTGCTGTGATGGTAGCTAATGAAATCGGCCGATAGTTGGTCTTATCGGATATATCTCCAGTTTTATTCTTAACAATAGGAACAACGACCGATCTCATCAACTCTGCAGGCAGGTATGAGTGTCTGATACAGAAAGTAAATAGCATACCTAGTAACCTCGGGAGGTGCGGCCCAGCATACATGAAGTGCTCAATGCTGAGGCCGTCATGACCCGGTGACTTGCCTCTTTTCATACCTTTAATTAACTGTTCAACCTCTTTAGCTGTCACACGTTTTGGCACACCAGATACGAATACCTCAACATCAGCACCCCGTGCATTTAGCTGCGACTGCACCCTAAAATGAGAACTGAACAAGTTAGCTATATCTCTGGGGTCTTGAATACCCTCAACGCTAATCGGTACGCTAGGCTTCGGACTTAATTTCCTGGTGTGTTTCCAGAAGCTTCGAAAATCTTTATCTTTGTGATAGGTAGCTAAAATATTAATTTTAATTAATTCTTGATTTTTTTGACAGAATTTTAATTTTTCCTTAAAATTTTTCCTAGACCTATACATATCCTCATAAATACGACCTTGTGAGGGTCGTCCGTACCATACCCAAGTCAAAAATGCTTGCCTAGCGTCCTGGTGAGCGTCACGTACATATTTATTCCACCCGGCAATGGGTCGACCACCCCTCTTATTGCCTCCCCCCTGACTGTAATTAAAACTAATCTCCGCGGCCTCTTGGAGTGATAAGATTATATTATTGTAAAATTTGTCAATTACGTTAATGTGCTCTAGGCTCAAATCATTACAAGTTGAATCACAACACTTCTCAAGCTCATGGGGAAAGTCAATTAATTTTAATTTTTCGTTACAAACTCTAGTAAAGATTTTTGTTTGTTGCTCATCACGTTCCCCCCCCAGATTACTTTATTTAAAGTGGCCTGCGGCAGCCCCGTCGACTGTGTCAAAGTTTTAATATTGCACTGAATTTCTAGTGGAAAATGGTCTGACCATAATACATCATAATGCACCTTAACGTCAGTAACGGAACTACGGGCGGCCTCAGTGATCAAACAGTGGTCGAGCCAGCGCCGACTGCCATTAATTTCACTAATATATGTGTATGTGCTAGAACTATGACCTAACGTTTTTAGATCTATGCACTCCCAGTTTTGATCGTTACAAAAATTTATTAGTTCTTTACAAAAAAAGCTCCCCTGGGTGTGCATTAAAATCTCCTAAAACAAATACAGATTCAATGTTATTGTTCTCTACTATAGCCGCTATTTCGCCTAAGCATTCTACATACTCTACAAAATTTTCAGGCGAATTAGTAGGCATATAAACTGAAAAAACTAGCATTGAACGACTCATAACACAAAGTTTAATTGCAACTATACGATCACTCGCGCATGGTATCACAGACACACACTCAAATTTTGAGCTATTCCATAAAAGAGCCACCCCACCATATGGTCTTCCTCGCAATAGTCCTGATGACGTATCAACCGCTGACTTGCCAAAGTATCCGAAAGCTTTGTTTACATTGCTCAGTTCCTGAATTTCATGGGGTAACAGCCATGTCTCCTGTAGCGCAATAATATCAGCTCTTTGACTCATTGATCTGACGCAATCCATTGATCTTTTGAGAGATTTACAATTGAATGAAATAAAAGTTGTACCTTCCATACTATTTATAATTTATTTGTACCGCTGAGTAATGGAGTCCCTCTATTTACTTCCCTTTTGTGAAAGTCAACAAAGCGGCGGAAGGAAATTCCGTCTGGCCACAAGTTACAATTTAAGAATAAGTTTAACTTATGCTTAGGAACAAACACCTTGTATGAACTGTAGTCCCTTTGCTGCTTTGTTTTTATTTTTTGTAAACTTACTTGAATATTAGTTTTATTCTTTATGTAACTAATGATGTCATTTTCACATGTATCTATGTGTACATTATTTATAAAAAGAGGTATTTTAATATCTGCTACACGAAACTTTTGCTCTGCATCTATACATGTGCCCTTTTCACTTAAAAAGCAGTTTCTGTACCTTTTTCTCTGAACAATTTTCCATTCTTCATTCTGCTCCTTGTCTTTCCAATGTTTATTATTACTTCGTACTATTTCCGCCATACTAACGCATAAATTATTATTCTCATTCGGTAAGTTATCGACATTACAGCTTGAAGCATCTATCACACGTTCGCAGTCAAACTTGTTTTGCGAGGCCCGCACCGCACTTTCGGCGCAGGCGGAAACCGCAGTAGCCGCCTCCACGGGCAAAAAACACTGCGGAGGTGGCGCGGAGACAGTTAATGCATTGGCCGGAGCGCATGACAGAGACGGCGAGCGCTGTGTTTGAAGTTGAACAGGTTCCGAAGCACATACCATGTTATTAGTCAAGGTCGAAATCTTTGCGCCGTTGTTAGAGGTCGTTGAATCTTGTGTTAAATGAATTATTCCTATCGGACCGCTATCACAATCAAAATTATCCAACAAATTGGCAGCGCCCCGCTTATTCTTAACAAGATTTGTACCCTCAAAATTGTTCACTAAAGTGTAATTTTTCAAAATATGTACTTCTTTTTGGAGCTGCAAAAACTTTTCCATATTTACGTAATTGTCCTTAAAACTCTCAAATTCATTTCGCATTATTATTAGGTCTTTTAACAATCGAGTTACATCGATGTGATCGAATGTCACCGGGGGAAGTTTCTGCAGGTCACGTGCAACAAAAATTGGCAGGTCCTCTGGATCGACCTCTTTTATTGTAGTAATTATATCTTCTAGTTCACGTAAAGTTTTACCTTCCCGCTTGCGAGTAACAATTTTCTTCTTTGTTTTAAGGGAGTTATAAAGAAGAGTCTTTGCTGTACATATTTCCTCTGGTTTGAACGCTGAAGAACACAGTCGAATGATTCCTTCCTCGTCCATCACATCACATTTGTTTTGGATAAACGCTAATATTTCGTTAATTACTATATTGCAACTGGCACACTTCAACACGGCGGAGGTTGTTGACCTCACCGGACTAGACATTTCTAACGCGTATTCACACAATAACACACAAGCGACGACTCAATTTATTAATTAAAGAAAATTATTGTACTCTAAAGAATTCATAGTAAATCAGCTAGTAATTCGCTTGTTTAATTATCATAACATCATAATATCCATAGCGATTCGATTATTATTCGATTAATAATTTCATAAAAAGAGAATAATCTTGGAGGTGTTTTAAATTTTGCTCGCTTTTGAAAATGTATCTTCCTTTTTTATTTAAATTCTATTTTAAGTGTATTTTTAAGAACAGTTAATTGTGCAGTAGTGTTTTATGAAGCTCTAAAAAATTCATGGTATATCAGCTAGAAATTCACTTGTTTAATTATCGTAACATGATTTCATTTTAAATGTATTGTTAAGAAAAGATAAGAATAACAGTTATATTGTGCAGTAGCGTTATGTTATACTGCATAGAATTCATTGTAAATCAGCTATTAAATCGCTTATTTTATTATCGTAACTACAGATGTGAAGGCGGTTGTTAACGTTTTCAACCAAGCCGATAACAACGGTTGTTTTTGTCTTGAAATTGATAAAAATTGTGCAGTTGCGTTTTGTTAAGCTTTAACCTTTTGAGCGCCACGCCAAAAACGCATTACCGTGTCCTGTACGCCAAAGCGCCAAAACAAAATAGTGTTGCCAAGAGTTGATATATCGATAACGTGAAATAACTTGTTTTTGTTGGTTTTTTATGCTATAAATGACTCTTAATAAACTGTATGTTTTATTTAATCTTGTGCCGTCTTCCACTCTTTTTATATATGTACTTTGTACATATAAACATAAATAAAAAACAAACAATAACAATAAAATAGTAGTAAACATTAGCACTACTCTCCATCCTAATGACGACACTGTCGCGACTGGACGACAACGGCGTAGCTGACCTTCCCTTTTGAAACATTCTTAGAATGTTGTGTATCGATTTCAAAATCGATCTAACCGAAATATACAGACATCGATTCATAATATTTTATGTGTCGGGGAAGGCGTAGGCCAAGTGACGCACAGAAGAAAAGTCTTACACTCTTATGACAATGGGGATTTGATATGATGCTGATGCTGCTAGATGATTTTGAGACTGAGAAAGAAAATGGCACAACACAAAATGAAAAATTGCTCTTCACACCCTAAGTAAAAAAAACATTAATTGTAATTTTGTATTATTATTAAAAAAGGTACATAATTATTCATTAATCAACAATTGTATATAATTATTCGCACTAGGTAAATCAGCCTTATAATACTAAAATCTTGGTCATGGAATAAATAAACATATTTGTTCACCAATCAATCAAAAATTCAATTCATCAATCAAAAATCAAAATTCATCATCATCGACGCTTTCCAAAATCCCAATGAGTTCTGAGGAATCGTTCATGTTGCATTGCTCTACTTTTCTCGGTAATCACTTATGACGTCATCAGGTTGTCGTCTATCCTTGATCACGGTGCCCAGTGAACTGATTTTCGATGACGCGCTAAAGATGCGCTAGAGCTGAGATATTAGATTTATTATGCGAAGATAATCTGATAACATTTTTTTATTCATGTAGCTAATTATAGTTTTATGTTTATAACCTTTAATTTTATTCAAATATCAATAATAATAGAAAAAAAAAACACCATTGAGCTTAATTTTGGATAGTTTTCAAGAAATCTATGCCTCCCGCGTTTGACACTAGCGGTCAACCATAGACGACTTTGGCGTGCTGGACATAGTATTTGCTTAGATAAAAATCCATTTTTTTTAGTTCAATGTTTCTTAGTACTTGTGGCTCTAGAAGACTTGTTTTTTATACTCACATGTTGCTGGGTTATTCCTATTTTGAGGAGTGTAGAATTAAAGTACCTGTAATAATTTTCCAATATCTATATTTCATATTTTTCGGAGCCGGGTTTTTTGTCAACTATAGACGTCGTTGGCGCTCAGGGCCCGCAGGTGTTGGTCAAGTTTAGGCGACTTTGGCGCTCAAAAGGTAAAGGATTCATGGTAAATCAGCTGGCAACTAACTTGTTTCGTTATCATAACATGATTCTATTTTAAATGTGTTGTTATAAACAGATAAGAATAACTTAACCGATCTTCTTTAAAAACAGATAAGAATAACAGTTCTTATCTGTTTTCAAAGAAGATCGGTTAAGATTAACAGTTAAATTGTGCCGTAGCATTTGTTACTCTCTAAAGAATTCATTAGAAATCAGCTAGTAATTCGCTTGTTTAATTATCGTAACATCATAATTATTTAAAAATTATATTAGCACTGTAATGATGACACCGTAAATAATCAATCGAAAAAGAGAATCGATTTTTTAAATGTGTATTGTGATTGGCAACACTTTTTTTTATTCACAAACTAATGACATAATGATTTACCTAATTTTTATTATTATGTTTCCGGTACTTTTAATTTGTGCAAAAATATTCCCATTGTTTGAGGATAAATGAATACCGCGATTAATAACCATAAATAAAGATATAATTTTTTAACAAATTCACATTGTTGGGCGTTCCATGGCCGAAAATGGGCGTCCCCCTTTAGGTGATTCATTTTCTTTATACCAGCCATGTACTAGAGCCCAATAATTTGCTTTGCTTTTATCTCTATGATATCCGTCTCTTTACAGTCTCTGTCTCTTGCATAACGGTCCATAATTTTTTTAATGTAATTATTTGTGTAAAAAACAATTTTAGTAAGCATGTCCTCACTTACAAAAAGGATAAAACATTCAATAATATGTTTAGCGCCTTTGGCTACTGGTTTTACCCCTGGTCTACTGTCAACTATGTTATGTGACCTTGTTCTTATATTGGTACGTTGTGGAAGATAATTCCACTTGGTAATTTTTTCTTTGCCTAGTTATATAGACCGTGCTCTGATTGACTTGAATAATTCTACCTTCATCTTAGCATGATGACTGTTCCGTGTCGGTGCAATGTTCACTGTGATCACTATCTGCGTCACTCTCTGCTTTGTCAATCCTACTATCTGGGTCCTCTATTTCCTTCGTAACTTCTTCCATCAGCCACGCCACAATTTGTTGCTCCCTTTTATCCATCTACAATAAACATAGATCTAATTTTATTATTTTAAATTATTGTTTATACACAAACCATCACTGTTAATTTAAAAAAAATTACATAAAACGTAGAATATAAAAATATTAAACATTTGAAAAAAAAACTTACAAAAACAAGTGGGTGGAGTGGGTGAGTTATCATCTTAACTGTAAAATAATGTCTTGGTTTCTTTATTATTGGTACTGTCATCACGAGTATTACATGTCCAGCATTCACACCCACCTTAACTGGTATGTGGCTGAGCATCTCGTCAAAGAGGATAGCAGGTGGTAATGCCAGGCTCTCAGGTAAACTTTGGGTTATTGATTTCATAACTTCTACAACCTGGCTGGTGTGCACTAGTGATAATAGCAGGTTTCCACTGACCATGGCATCGCTAAAGTAAACATAAAATTCGGCTGATGTTAACAAGGAAGTCTCTGGTAATGATGTCTTTGCATTGCATTCGGTTAATTCTATCAATGTTAACATAATGGCCTGAGTTAATTCTTCCGCTCTAGACATACGGCCTTACTAATAAAGATTTACACACGACGTATACCAGAGTTATAACGTTTTAGATTACCAATAAATGACATTTGACAGTTCAGTTGTATACATCTGTTATAACGAGTGTATAAATTGTATGGGAAATTACGCAACCGTTATACAGTTCTCAACCTTTGTTTAAGACGTGTATAACCTCTATTTGACGTGTGGCGTTTTTGAAAATAATGGATTATTTACAATATTTCGATATTTTTGATGAAATCGACCGTGAGGAACCACCAAGAAAAAGAAAACTTTACAAAAAACGTTTCGATCCCTTTACTCTACAAGATAAAGAATTTCGAATGAAATATAGATTCAGTAAAGTATATATGAGAAAAATAGTTGACTTAGTTCAACGTGACATCGAACTACAAGCTAGTGGTGGCGGGCTGTCTGTAGAACTTCAGGTATGTACTGCTCTCAGAACGTGGGCTAGGCAAGAAGTTCAAGATGATGCAGCAGACATTCATGGACTTAGCCAACAGTCCATCACGAATATATGCCGAAGAGTAGCTCTTGCTTTGGCAAGTAAAGCGGCGGAATTTATACGCATGCCTAGTACTTTAGAAGAGCAAGAACAAGTGGTTTCTGGATTTAGAAACATTTGTGGCTTTAAGCAAGCAATTGGTGCTATTGATTGCACTCACATAAAAATTAAAAAAGTCGGAGGAGATAGTGCTCAATATTATATAAACAGAAAGGGGTTTTCATCCTTAAATGTCCAAGTAGTTTGTGATGCCCAATTAAAGATAAGGGACATAGTGGCACACTGGAGGGGCAGCACACATGATGCAAGAATATTTAGAGAAAGCCGAATCCGACAACGATTTGAAAATGGGGAATTTCATGCTCGTTTACTAGGAGATTCTGGCTACGGTTTAACAAATTATTTGTTTACACCAGTCCAGAATCCTCGTATCGCTAAGGAGGAATCTTACAATAAATCACAAATATTGACAAGAAATACAATTGAAAGGTGTTTCGGAGTTTGGAAACAGAGGTTCCGATGTTTATTACTTGGATTTAATGTGTCACTGGAAAATGCAAAATTATACATTGTTGCGCTTGCAATATTACACAATATTGCCATTGAAATGAATGAAGGCATTGATTTTCTTGAACCAGTCATATCTGAAGATAATGGTGACCAACAAATGCTAAGGGAAGGTCTCGATAGCCGATCTGGTCAAGAAACAAGGAGATTATTCATTGAAACACACTTTTAGTTACAAAAATGTTTTGTTAATAAATAAAATCAATTTATTTCAGACAGAGTCCATATAAGTGACATACATTATAGTAAATTTAATTTAATCTTATTCAATTTAACCTAATTTGATTGTTTAACATAAAAAACTATTAATTTAACATAAAAAAGGTAAAAGATATTTTATTGTGGCAATTTTGATTTTAAAAGTAAAATTTCTAATTTAAGTTTTTCAACACGAAGCTGCGTTTCTTCTTTTTCCAATAATATTTTTTGGATTTTTAAATTATGTTCCTCTTTAATAAAACTATGAGCTTCCATCATATTTTTCATTTTTAAATCATGTTCTTCCTTTATGCAACTGACAAGAACATGATTGCGCTTTCTGGTTAAGTCTCTATCCTGTAATAAACATGTTATTATTAATCACAAATCACTAATCCCATAATTTAGTTATACTGAAATTAAACTACTTATTAAAATTAAATTAAATTTTACCTCACGTTTGGTTGTGTGTATATTATCATTCATACGATTGAATGATAATTTCCGTTTCGTTCTATCTTTTTCATTTTGCATCTTGAAAGGTAGTGGTGTAATATTCTGGAATATTAACAAAAGTCATTCAGAATTCAAAAGATACTAATCAAAGTAAATTCAATCAACAAATTTAAACTAACAAACCTCTTGCACATTATCATTATTATCTCCTGGAGTGATAACATACTCTTGTGTTATTGTATTAACCGAGGACTTCTCCTGACTTTGAACCTCTGGATGCTAAAATAAAATAGAATATCACACACTGATGTCATAATCGTAAGATATAACATACTCATTCTGATACTAAACATTGTGTTAGTGCTAAGACAAAATAATTACAAAAATATAGTATGAGCTCACTGTTATGCTGTCACTGTCGAAGGCATTGATGGATGTCTTTACTTGTGACATGTTTTTTGGCATCAAGTTTCATTGTGCGCCACTGTTGCTTTAATTCAGCCAATTCTCTTACCCTGCTATTTAATTCACTAAAACTGAAAATGTTTCAATCACAATAAGCATAGTTTAATCTATACAATATTAATAAAACTTACACAAAACTAACAAATAATAAACATTAAAAATATTTAAATATATATTTACACTAAAATGAAAACATACTCATTTTAAAAAATGAAATTAAAATATCTTACATATACTATAATAATTAACAACTTATCAAATTATACCTAACAAACATCTTAACACATCTAGTTGATTAACTAACACTTAGGGGTTATTGTACTGGGAGTTTGACTGCGTTTTGATTTTGGATGTACATATTAGTAAGCACCTATGAAATATTCTTACACTACCATCAGCTTTTTTAGTATTTTGTGCAAGATTTTATATTCATATTTATACTTAACATAAGTCCACAGATATGTTATGCCTACTCAAAGCACATGTTACTTTCTTTTGTTTCTCAGTAAGTGAGTGTATATTCTTTTTTAAATTTAATTTCTTAAACTACAACTTGCATACAATAAATATGAAACAAAATTCATAAAATGTAGTATTTTACTAACCTTTTCATCACTTTCTGCCAAGCAATGATCTTACTTTTATTAGTATTTGTATCAGTGTTTTTATTTTCTATGACGGATACAAACTCCTTCATACAACTTTTTAATAAACTCTGAAAGATAATATACAAAGTTAGATTACAAATTGTGACCATATAAACAGCAGTATTTAAGAAACACTATATAGTTTTAAATGTTTATTCTAGTAAATTATCTTACCTTTTCTAATGCATCCCAATTTGCAGACCGTTTTCTTTTGACAAAGTTTAAATTACTATTAGCCATTATTACAGAATTTGCGTTGTTTTTAACAATATAGTAGCTATTAACGAATTATTAAACCCGAACAACAAAATTGACGAATGACGATTGAATTGGAAACTGTCTGAAAGGTACGTTCATAAACTTATGAGGATAATAAATATGGCTTTGTCAAAATAATGTTCAGTTTTTATCGCCTAAAAACATTAGATTATTTCTAAATTCAATTAAACAATGTTTTGGGCTAAATTTATGTGTCATTAACTACAAAAAGAGAATTTATAAGCTATTTATGTGTTTTCAAAATGTCTCTACAATTTTACAATTGAGTTTCAAAACGTTTTTGATGAATGTTGCCAATGGTTTTTGTTTTAGCGAGTTAATAACTATACAACGGTTATACACCCGTTATTGGTAAAGAGCGTGTGTAACTCTTACCCAAAGCTTATACAATGTATAAGTACACACTTGTTAAACAGATGTTTTAGATATTTTTATTGGTAAGACTGATATTCTTTAGTGAGTCCTTCAACATGTCAAAATTTTCATTCATTACCTCACTCGATTGCTTGAGGGCATCCTGGGTGTGAGTTATTACTTTGGCCATTGATTGGAACTCATCAGCTGTGGTCCTAAACAGAGATTGAATCGATCGAGCGTTGGTTTCAACGAATCTGACTGTTAAGTTTAACTGATGATCAAATTTTTCCAACATAGACAACACATCTCTTATCTGCTCATCAGTGGCCACCCCAGCAAACCAATGATAGAAATCGCCTATGAAGTCAAGACTGCGCCTCCTCCTGTGATAATTATCTTTGCGGGATAGGCTATCATCAGGCCTAAACGGTGTTTGAGAGTTTGAGCGATGAGCGAAACCCCGCGCGTTAGAGGTGATTCGAACAAACCTTCCTCTATGACTGACTGGAGCACACTAACCCAAGGCCAACGTATGTTGCGGGACGGAGAGGGAATAAAACTCAGCTACACGGCGCAAGAGACTGTCAGGTAGGTTTTTGACAGAATGGCGCCATTTTTAAATTTACCGTGAACAAAATGCTCATAGCGCGAGTTCTCGCGGGTTAATTAATTCTGCCACGCTTTGGTGGCAAAGACCGTCGTTTTTAACCGAGAATTCATGTAATTGGCCCAAAAATGTTAATATAAAAAATATTTCTTGTTTACCTGAAAGGAAAGCTTATACTAAATCACTACAATCTACACCTACACTACAGTCTATAACTACACTCCAACCTACAACAGCACGACAATCTACATGTTCATCAAATACTACTTTAACTCTTAGCAAGTCTATGATAGTAAATGTTGAAAGATATTCAAGATTCACAACATTACAAAGACGTTTAGCTTACGTTCTACGTTTTATTCACAATTTACAACATAAACATCACAATTACATTGTTGTGAATTGCAAGGTTGATTTATTTCGCTATTGGTATAGTTTATTCTCCTTGAGTTAGCAGTTCGCATTGTTACATCGGTGTTCGAACTCGACGCCACAGGTGGCGATTGATATTGCGTGAGGCGCTGAGTATGCGCAGGGACATTGTCCGCGAAATACTGACTACGCTGTACCGCCGGCGGTACTTTTTTTATATAGAATAGGGTGACAAACGAGCACACCGTCCACCTGATGGTAAGTGGTTGCTGCGGCCCATAGACATCTACATCTATATCTACATATATCTGGTGACCTAGTGATCGATTGCTGTTAATAATTATTGCGATGGCTATTGTTAGGGTTGTTATTTTGCCTAAATTGGAATGAATTATTTGACGAGTTAAAAGAGCGGTTATTATTAACGTAGGGTGACAAATTATTCTGATTATTAAATGTATTTGCACTAGATTGCTCCGTATGGGGGACATTTCTAGGTGAATAAGTGTGATTATTGTTAGGACTCGGCCTAAAGTTTGTTCGATTAGACCATGAATTTTTACTTTCATAAACTGACTGAAAGTTTTGTTCTTCCAAGACCATTTCAAAGCGTCTTCTAGTGTAGTCACGTTTCGTAATCTCAGAAGTCTAACTAAATATGCCGGTAAATTATAAAGAAACGCATTTAGTGAACTATGATTATAAATAGATTGTTTCGCTAGACGTAAGTTCGGATCGTCAATCGTTTCGCTAACCTTAGAAAATAAGACACTTCTCAAATGTTGTATCCTGTGATAAAATTCCTGGTAATGTTTTTAATTCGTCCCAATTATTAATATGATCCCGTTTTTCAACTAGGTTTGCAGCTTCCCCGGATAACCTACTCGTAATAACGTGGAATAAATATTCGTTTTGTAACTGGCTTTCTCGGAATGAATGGAATATGTACTCGCATTTTTTTATAAAGAGTGGTAAAAGTCTAGTATCACCATCGAAATTAGGGATAATTTTAACCATTTCCATAGGAACTCTCACAAAATTTTCCATTTTTCTTTCTTTTTGTTACAGAATACACTACCAATAGAAAAAAAATACTCTTTGGTTATTATTAAGTGAATTTATAAGGAAATCAAATGAAATAATTTAAATTCCTCAATTACTTAAATAATTAGAACAATTAACTAAGTGTGAATTTATCTAGTAATTAGGCGTACTTAATCCCACAAAAACCAGAATATAAACACACAAAAAAAACTAAGAAGGGTAGGAAAATACAGATTAGTGAAGAAGATCTACTCACAGTGCTGCAGTGTTCAGTGTCCTTCTGGAACATAGGTGCTCCGTCCTTGAAGTTGGTCTGTTCCTTAATAAATTTGTTTGTTCCTTTTTTCCCGATTAAAACGTTGAGACGTACGACCGATTTTTCTGCGAAAACTTTTATTCGCCACGAAATAATACTTGGTCTTACGGGTCCCTACCGACTGCGCCAATTAAGATAATGAACCAAACTTCAATAAAAAATATATTTTATTTATTTTGACAGAGTTACAGTAAGAAGTTTATTACTACAATATTCGATATTAACTGATTACAATTGTTTATACTAAATTATATGCAACAAAACTATTTACTAAGCTTGTATACTGCATACGCTTCACCCAGATGGGATTGCTGATGATGTGCGAACGAATGAGATTTGGCAGGGGTGCTCAGCCTTAACTCGCGCAACACTGCCCCCTCCTAAGACATGCTCGTCCCGAGCATTATCGGCCCCATAATAACGCGCCAGTCGATCCACACGGATGATCTTAGGAGTACCTCTTGCGCCTTTCTGTATCCGGTAGGTTAGGTCGTTAATCCCGGCCACAATCTTAGCTTAAAGCTTGAAGATTTCCCTTTGCTGCGGACTAGATTATGCAACCACACTAGTATGAACCTTCGTCGAACCCTTTGTTGTTCATTTTGTGATCATACCGGGTTTTCATCTTTTCGGACATTTGCTGGCCCGATTGTCTGACGTGCTCATAAATGTCATTCATTTTGTTCCGCAAATCATTTGCATAATCGGTTATACTGAGTGGGACATCAGGTGGTATCCCGGTGATTAGGTCTGCAGGTAGCCGTAATTCTCTTCCAAAGTTTGCGAAAGCTGGTGTCACTGATGGACTTTCGTGAACAGCGCTTCGATATGACAACAAAAACGGTTGACTATGTGCTTGTCCCAATCTCGTTGCCGATTGTCTACAACTTTTGCTAGGTACTGGAGAGGTATGCCCGATTAAATCGTTCCACCATTCCATCAGATTACGGGTGATAAGAAGTCGTTCTTGTTTTGTGAGTACCCATAACTCGGCAAGTTTCCTGGAATATTTGAGACTCAAAATTTCTTCCTTGATCGCTGTGAATCTCTAAAGGTTCTCCAAAACGACAGAAGACTTCGACAATGCATCTGTGTTGCCACGCCATTTCCCGCTGCAGTATCCGATAGTAAAGTCGAATTCATGTTACTGCTGGGCGGTGCTGTTAGCCGCACTACCCTTTCGAGATTGATCACCTTCCCTTTTTACTGACCGCTTAGGGCAGCTGGGTCGAAGACGACCCCTTTCCCCACAGCCGTAGCACCCTGGGCTGTAACTTTTATTGTGTTCGCGAACTGTAGGTGCTGCAATCTCACTAACGTGAAGAGAACGATGATCCTGCCGCTGCTAGGCGGTGCCTTTAGCCGCACTACTCCCTCGAGATCGATCACCTTCCTTTTCTACAGATCGCTTAGGGCAGCTGGATCGAAGATGGTCCCTTTCTCCACAGCCATAGCACCTAGGGCTGTATCCATTACTGCGCTCGCGAACTGTAGTTGCTGCAACCTCCCTGTCGCGATGGGAGCGAAGATTCTGCCGCACGTCTTCCACCTCTAGTGCATGTGACAAGGCGTCCTTAAGCATCTCGTGGTGCCCGAGCCTCACAGCAGCTCTGACTTCAAGGTCGCGGATGCCGTCGGTGAATGTCTGCACCAGGTTCCCTTCAATGAGCGCAGTTACAGACTGGTATGCTTTTCGAACCAGCTTCTCCACCTCAAGGGCCTACAGTTGCAGATTTCGTTGATTCATTGCACGCGATCTCTACGCTGCAATCGAAAGACGTGTTCCAGGTGAGCGTCGCCATATCTAGCCTCCAATGTCTCAAGGAGCTGCTCGTAAGTCACTTTTTTACCGACAGCTTCTAGAACAGTTAAGGTCTGGTCGTGCAGGCCTAGTGTGAGAGCAGTCATGGCCTGACTTTTATTCCAGCCGTTCGCCTTCATAACAGCTTCGAACTGGATTTTGTTAGTCGACCAGGAAGAAGTCTCATCGAACGGTGGCACTTCGAATGCACTTAGCGAAAGTGTTGTAGCTACTACGGTAGCTGTAATTCCATCCCCAAGTTTGAAGTCGTCCAGAGTTTTCTTCACGTCAGCCATCACGTTATCAACCCGATTGTTCACTTGGTCAATTCGGGTTTCTTCTTCCGACAGGCGGTTGTCATATTGAGCAACCCTATCTTTCGCCTCCCTTATCTCTTTATCGAAGGTAGCGTGAAGGTCCTTCATGAGGAATATCTGCTCTTCCTTATCGCGTTTGAGCTGCTCTTCCAAACGACGGGTCTGTTCCTCCTGTCGGCGGGCTTGTTTCGCCTGCTGCTCTTCCAATCGACGGGCCTGTTCCTCCTGTCCGCGCAGCAGCTGCTCTTCCAGCCGGCGGGCTTATTCCAGCAGCATTATCATTAGAGCACCTAAGTCAGGTGCTGCAGATGAAGAAGCTGCTGACGGTTGCTGCTGCCGGTTGGAAAAGCAGCTGCTGCTGCAGCTGCTCTTCCAACCGGCGGGCTTGTTCCAGCAGCATCATCATTAGAGCACCTAATTCAGGTACTACAGATGAAGAAGCTGCTAATAAACTGGCCTCCGTGGTCGGCAGTTGGCCGTCCGACGTCTGCGGCGTTGCACTACCAAGTCGTCTCTAGTCCGTCTCCTCCTGTCGTTGACTTCGGGTACGGATACCCTCCGTGATGTGCTTAGGTAAAATCGGCATGATTTTATCCCACTTCTGACACCAATTGATATAGCTTGTTTGTTTTCTAAATTTAATTTAATTCAGTTTCTTAAAATATTTACAACTAAATTCAACGAGCGATATCGTTTTACTTGAAAATTTTAACCATAGATCGTTTTTAATAAGGCTTTTCGATGTTAGTTTTTCGACCTATATTTTTTTTATAGGATAGGGTGACAAACGAGCACACAGTCCACCTGATGGTAAGTGGTTGCTGTGGCCCATAGACAT